TCACGTTCCCTTTAGGAAGAGTGGATTCAATGATTGGCCGTCTATTCAGCAGTGTGTGTGTGTGTGTGTGTGAGTGTGAAAGTGACAATGACTAACACAAGGGGCTCTCGACGAGGATCCATAAATAGACTCTCCAAAGAGCCAAAGGCTGCCCTCCCCCTCATTCTCCATCCCCACACGTACACACACTCAGACACACACCTCTATTCTGCCCTCTTTCCTCTAAACCGGACAATCTGTGACCACTTGGCATCAAGCCTTTCCTAACATGTACACTCATACAGCAGGCATGTACACACACACAGACACACACTCTGCATTCTTCTCGACATCCTGCACAGGCCTCTGTTAATTCCCTCCTACAGAATGTGAGGCATGATGCCAAACAATGCAGCATTTTGCATCAGCCTGTGTTAGGTACCATGGAGATAATACTGTCATTTGTTAATTCACCAATAAAGCTTGGACAATATTTGCATGTAAACACTGAATATGGGGCACAGTTGGTTTAAAAGCATTTTGTGTCTCAGTAAAGATTCAGAGAGTATGATTCATAAAAAGGGGGGTTTTCTGGAAACCCCTGATTGCAATCATTTTGGTCAGTTTGACTCATTTGGGTTTTTTTTTTATAGCAGTGTACTTAAAAGCAGATCCAAGCTGATTTCATAAGTTATTAGATTGGTGGGTTGACCTTCTTTCCTGTACATTGAAGAGTATCTTGGGCAGTTTCAAAGGTTACTTTTAATACTGGAATCGCTATCAGAATGACTAGGGCATGAGTTATGATTTCGCCGTAGTTTAATCAAAATATAGCTTTTGGGTTTAAACCAACTTTTCAGGGCTTTGGGTATCATTACAGTGGGCTTAGAGATGGGCGATATGGGAAAAAGTTTATCACAATATATATATTTTTAGTATCAGTCAATATTGGTATATATAATGATATAAAAACATCACTTGTCAATCTTAAATGTTCCCTGTTACTCTTACATGCAATTTAACAGTGCTTATTGGTAGTTTGTCTTCTGCAATGCAAAAAGCTACTGCATCTGTGAGGTCTTTGTGTCTCTTTGACGTTTTGTCGTAAGGCGTTGCGCTAGAAGAAACAGACTGAATGGTCGGTTGTTTCGGCTGCACAGGCGACATGGGCTCGTTGCTCCGATCGTTGTTTGTAACCTTTTGCATTGCGCGTGCTCTGACGTGTGGCACTGCTTCAGGTGGTGAAAAAGATTTGAGTTATTCCCTGACTTTGAAAGAACATGTACTCTACACAATTTCCAGTGCACACTACTCTGCGTCATGCCCGTCCGCAAAAAAACAAAATACCTCCACACCACTCAAGTTTTCGTGCAAGCGTTGTCGACGATATCGTCATCTGTTGAGCCTTCATCTACGTTTCTGTTGGGGGTTGCACTTATTTTCTTTTTGTCTTACCAACAGTGCTGTCAGCTTCACGTGTTAAATAGCTATGGTTGCGTGTAGCTGCAGCCTGCTACTACGCAGTTGTTTGCTACTTGGTTCTAATTCAGCACATGATTGGTTCAGCGCGAAGCAGACCTGGCACAACTCCCCTTTTCATTGGCTTTTCGTATAGTCTACCAAAACATGGCAAAATGCTGACTATCAAAAAGTATATTGACCATGTTTTATATTGATATCGAGGGAAATTAATTTCCGATATATATCCTTATCATTTTGTCACCCAGCCTTAAGTGGGCTGTTAGCTTCCTGAGCATTAAGATGTTTTTGAAGGATAATAAATCAAACAGAATTGCTGTTTAATCACCTCAGATAGCATTGAGTGTTGCTGCACAAGTGATGCCTTCTACCGCTTTTGCTTTGTTGGCTGAAATGTTGCTGAGCAATTAAGGAAACCAAATCACTTGGGTCCTCGAAATGAATCTACAGATTTCCGGTGAAACAATGCCATTGTTTTCAAGAAGGCATCTCAAGCATTTGCTGGTTCTAGTACCAAGACTGTGATGATTTCTCTTTTTCTTCTTAAAAACAATAATTAACGTAAGTCTTTCGGTTTTGAATTGTTGTATTTACCAAGAAAAGTTGATTTAAAGAAACTCCTTTAGGCTCTCTGCCAATTATAATGAGCTTTTCACAGATGGAGATAATTGTTACTACTTCTCTTAGGGCAGTATCAACGTGTAGTCGATTATACTAGTGCGCAAACTTTGAAAATCCATTCAAGTCCCACTGAATTTATTCTTAAAAAGCTGTCGTCTTGTAAAGTTAAGAGTTCTAACCGAAACGGAGTGATACCCCGCGGCGTTCCTTCTGCTGGAGTAACCACAACAGATGCAGAAGCTGTGTTTTTGGACATCAAGAGGCAGCAGCACAGACCCTCAGAGGACTGAACATCCCTGACGATGAGCCTCCCTCCAACTACAAGCTCCAATAAATAAATCATGAAGAAAGTTTGAAATAGAACAGAGGAAGCTCTGCTCCATTTGGACCGCCTTAAGTCAGAGTAAAAGGAGGAGAGTCATAGATATGGATGGCATAAAACGGCAAGAATGATTAAGGCTGCTTTCTCTATTTCATGTGATATTAAGACCAACATTAAAAATTAACTTATCACATTTTTGGGCTGAATATTCATGTAAGAACTTGAAGATAATGGTTAATTTAACTGTAACATTAAAACAAAAGGATCAAGCAAGTTGTTGACAACATTGTTTTTTTAGAAATGCAGCAATCCTCTGACAGCTTTCCACAGCCATTATAATAAGCAACAGAGAGTGTTCTTGAACGTTTAATTACTCTAATGTTATTTTCCCGTTTTCCATCAGTGGGTCTGAAAACGGATAATAAAAATCTGCTTGTTGTGTGGCTTCTTTATCGCCGCACAGCAGAAAGAAAATAAAATGCACGTGAAATTTAATTTGCGACAGACTTGGCAGCGGAAAAGGAAGAGAATGACTCAAAAGATGAATAAAAAGAAGCAATCAATTTTTCCTAAAAGTAATTCCACTGGAGGTAGCAGAAACAGGCGAAGCACTGATCTTTTTTTCATTAGGGTTTCGTAAAGCTCTGCAGGGTACAGGATGCTTTGAATTCGTGAGCAGTGTGCAGGTTTTTTCTCAGTCTCACATGGTCTGCCTGAGCTCTAGTTGGGGTTTCCCCCACCGTCTGCCAACAGCAGGATGAGGTCATCGTTAGGGGTTTAAACCCAACACGAGCTTAATCTGGGAGATAAGTGATGGATTTGGATTTAGTACTCAAAAAGGGTCACGTCGCAGCTACAACTACTGAAACTGTCAGTAAATATGCAGCTCAGACATGGGATCCCCAGCTGTTCGACAAAAACACACACACATTTCGTCATGCGGTCAAATGGTTTGACTCGTGGAAGATTCTTTGGTGTTAAAGTGAATTAATGATCTCTTATTGGCATTTAGAGTTACGCTGACGTCTATTAATCACATGGGATGTCCCTGCATGAATGAGCTGTACCCCTCATTAGCTTGCAATGCTGCACTACCGTGACTTTTTAGTGTCTATTATTCACTACAAAAAAACATAAAAAATGATAACTGATGTGTTTTAGTGCTCTCACTTTGTCTGAACAGCGTTAAGAAGTGTTTATAAAGAAGTACATTTTGATTGATTAGTAGGCTGGTAGGCTATTTGCTCTGATTTCTTTGGTACTGGCCGATGAAGTCGAGGTTTGATTTCTTTAGGCCTTTATTTGGGGTTTTTCTAGGTTAGAAGATACTACTGATATGTAAATTTAAGTAGGTTATTTACAAACGATGCTTGTACAGTCAAAAGTATGACCATAAATATTACTATTACATGTCTGAAGTATATATTTCTCACTTGTGTGGATGTAATTTGATCACTAGAAACAAGCTCACAGATGCAGTTGTCTGTCTCAGGCCCTTCCTTGTCTGGAAATCCTTTTGGACTGAAACAGTTTTATATTACAGTTCTATCTTGGATGGATGGATGGATGGATGGATGGATGGATGGATGGATGGATAGATAGATAGATAGATAGATAGATAGATAGATAGATAGATAGATAGATAGATAGATAGATAGATAGATAGATAGATAGATAGATAGATAGATAGATAGATACTTTAATAAAAAACTTTGACATCTTTGAAGCTAGGCTGTTTGTTTGCAGCATGCTGCTCTTTTTGTAGTTGTGACTGTAGTAAATTGAGTGTTAAAGTCAATTTTCTGGGGTCATATTGTTATAGTGGTATGGTGCATTGACTGACTGACTCATGCCCAATAGGATAAGACATCTCTGGCAGAGTTGCAAATGTGTGGATCGAGGTGGGCTATCTGATACCAAACATCGAACTAATGCGGCCCTTTATGAAAGTCACCTCCATGTTTGACTCAAGAATGTAGTCTGTAGTCTAAGTCCAGTGTTGGTTTTTCACATGACACAACAGTCAAGCTTCCATAATTGGTGGATAACTGCAAGTAGGGCCTAATATATTGAATAAAAGAAACTCTATTCAACCAAGACACTATAAAGGAAAAGTATCTGAAGATAACATTCTAGCTTTCTGCATGTGTCCACAGTTTTCAAACACAAAATGAGATTTATATTGAAAGCTGTCAGAATTAGAAGATATTTTATTCCATTCAGGTTAATTGAAGTCACTCAGGGAGAGAAATCACGCCTGGGGAAAGTCCCATTTAGGTCCTGAGATGTCCCACTCTCCCTCTCAGAGAGAAATGGGTCAGTAGAGATTGGAGACGATTATATATTTAAAAACACACACACACACACACACATAAAAAAAACGTCCTTGCTTCTTGTTCCCTCTGTGGCAGACCGTGCTCACAGATTATGCGCCAATTACGCTCGGCACAGAGGGCATTAACAGGGATTTACATGGTGCTGTCCACTCAAATGCTGCATGCTTTAGGGATGACATCATTTTGATCACCTCACATACCGGCTGACCCCCCCCTTCTCCTTGGCCAAAAGCAGCCTCACGCGCACAGAAATCAGTTTACCTGTGGCTGTTGTCCCGTGTCTCACCAGGTTGAGCGTTTCTGCTCTGATAGGAAGACCCCACCTCTCTCTCTCTCTCTCTCTCTCTCGCTCTCTCTCTCTCTCTCGCTCGTGTTTACTATAGGTGAGGTAGCCCTGTATATAAATTCCTGAGTGTGCGCAGATCGCATCCTCAAGAGGCAGAGGAGTGCGTAAAAGGAGGAGGAGGAGGAGGAGGCTGCGTAGAGAGCTGGGAAAACAAGCGGAGCGAACGGAAAGAGCTGTCGCTGCTGTGTTTACTGCGCGCAGGTGGAAAAAAAACGCAGACTTCCAGGGTTGAGGAGGAAGCTCACTGGATGCAGGGAGGAGGAAGAGAAGCGTGGATGCTACAGGGAGATTTATATTTAGGTGTCTTTCATTGAATCCTATCCTGAGCCGTAACGTGGAATACGCTTTTGCAGCAGGGATGATGGAGCTCAGCTGTCGGAATTAAGGTAGGACATGTTTTATTGGCACCGTTGAGCCATTTTCAGCAGCACGATGAAGGCAATCGCGTTGCTAGTTTTACCCCCAAATCACGCCTGGTTATTCACATAGACTATAGGCTACAATAGGAGGTTATATCTCGAACTTGAGGTGCATCTGAGGAGCGATGATGCGCGCAAGAAACCGCTCCGATGCATCCACAATGCACCGGCCTGCATCCGAGCGTATAGACTCCTCCTCCTCCTCCTCTTCCTCTTCTTCTTCCTGCTGCTGCTGCTTCTTCTCGCAGCTGATACCCAGGAATAAGAGCCAGAGCAGGGCTATTAGCAGACAGGGAGCAGTGGGATGTGAATGATTTGTGATTATTCCAGGTTTCAGACACCAGATGTGTCTCAGTGGTTGGGTTTCTCTCTGTGCAGAAAATTATAATGAGAATGTTTTTTTCCACACTTCGAGTTTTACAAGGTGGTGGTTTGGTTAATGAATCCTCCAGTCTGTGTCTGTCTTATTTCAGAGCATTCATGTGATTCTTCCTCTTCCTGTGTTATAAATTATATATGTCAAATACTGTTTCAGATTGCGGGATCTTGATGCAGTCGGCTGATCAGACATCAGATGTTTTGCATATTTATTTCCAAACCTCAAGTAGATATATTTATGTTCAGAAACTGTCAGGAGAGCCCAGGCGCCTGAATTGCCTATCTCAATGACAAGGAGATGACCTGTTAAGAAAATCTGTGTTTGTTTTGTCACAGTCACCGTACAACACGAGAACATGACAGTCCTGTTCGAGGTTTTGGTTTATATCATTATCTCGCACAGCAGGTAAAGCACATTACTTGTTCCTGTCAAGGAAAACCGAGGGAGAGTGGGACACTTGAAAAAGCTCAGACAAGAAATAATGCATTTTCGCTCTCCGCCGAGCGTGTACAGGCTGTTGTCCTTGGAGAAATGACAAGCTTTGAAGAGGCCCCGTAGATTCTCTCTCTCTTTTTTATTCCACATCCATCATTTCATCTCGACCACTTTAACATAACCGTGATGCTTCCAGTGCGGGATGTAAATAACCAGCTGTGGCACCGCTCTCTCCACACAACACTGGTTTTCTAATTCATTAACATGCGGCAGTTCCTACATAGGGGTTGTCAGGTCTAAGAGAGAGGAGGGGGTCTAATATCATTTTCCTCAAACTTCATTCAAGGTAGTGTCTTTATCGGCTTAGATTTATGGTCCAGACAGGCTGCTCTGCTCTGCTCCTCTGTCCTGCTCTATCCACACGTCCTCAAATCATGTTTCATTGTAGTATTGATTTGATATCCTCAGAGATCAGACACAGTGACTCATCCAGATCCCTAGAAACGACTGTACTCTCGTCTGTCCCTTTAATAACAAAAGTACATTCAACAAAAAAAGCTTCACTGTGATTTGGAGTAATTCTAGAAATTTCTCAGATTGCCCTCACTGAGAGACTGGCACAGTATTAGCTGGCTCCAAAGGGTCATAGTAAGGAGTAAAAATATGTTTATTGATCACAGCTCAAGGGCTTTTTCTCTTCTGCTTACTTTTGTAGGTCATTCAATACTGCCTGCTCCTCGCTCGTATATGATAACTCAGGCCTAACTTACAATCCGTGGGAAGTTAAACTGCTCTTTAGGGTAATCTGCCTCTCTTGCTCTCAGAGTTTAAAAGAAGACTTGACCTTTGAATTGATCAGCTGATCGTGGCAGATTGCTCTCCACCAGTAAATCTCATCCCACTCAAGGTTTTGGTCTGGTTAAAGAAGTTTTGTCTTGGACGGATTAACTTTGGCTGCCATGGACAGTATCAAGAAGACTTGCCGTTTGAGATTGATTGTATTTTCTCCCCTTTCTTAGTTCTCCTGATCTTCTGGTGACCACGAGCCCCCATGGCGCTTATTCACGAACCCCGTGCCCCCTCTCCGTCTCTCTCCGGTTTCAACACACCCCTCTCCGACCCTCCATCCTTCCGCACCCTCGATGCCGTCACACCCTGCACCCCTGAAATGGACCTGACCCCGACTCAGTGCGTTCTCCGCAACGTACTCTCCATAGACACCGGAGGGGCTGTGGAGCCCGGCGGCGATGGAGGAGGAGGGGGAGGAGGAGGAGGAGTAGAGGGGCAGATTCCTGGACACAACCAGACGCCAGGCGAGGAACAACAGGAGCACTTCGCCAACAGTGTGCTGAAGCTCCATGAGCATGATGGGAGCCCAGGACGGACGGAGGGAGAGGGGCAGGAGCTGGACAGCAGTGCGGTCAGGAGCCAGGCGGATGACGCCAGGTTACAGTGCCAGTCTACGGGAGGGGGAGGAGGGTTTCTGGAGGGCCTGTTTGGGTGTCTGCGGCCTGTCTGGACTATGATCGGGAAAGCTTACTCAACGGAGCACAAACACGACCTAGACGGTGAGTGTAGTAGTGAAATTGATACACAAAGACACATCACCCCTCTATGAATCGATTCCTTATTTATGATACTCTAAAGGGTTCGTTTTTATATCCTATTTCTGAGTGAGTTTACACTTGATAAATAAAGAGATACATTAAGAGAGAAAGGAGGTATGAGGACAAGTAAATTTAAATCTAACTGTTACTGTCTTCACTCACCAAGCACAAGTAAAATCATTCGCGCGAATGAATTACATGTTTAGTCAATGCAAAGACGCGATTAGTCGCTCCTACGACTCTGGCGGCGCAAATTGGGCGAATCTCAACTTGAGCAGATATTTGCGTCGCAATAACTACTCAGCACGAAGGTTGCCAGGTGACATGAAAACAGATGGTTGTTCACTGGTATCTAAAATGGAGGACAAACTGATCGTGTCGGTGTGCGGGTGCCCTGATATTATAAGATACCGTTTCTTTCAATTACCGAATCTGGAATAAAAAGAAGTTCACCTGGAGACAAGTGAGTGAGGAGGTCGGATTACCTGGTAAATTGTAAAAAACTTTGTCTAGTTTTTGAACCCGCCGGTTGAATTGGCAGGGATTACCAATGAAATTACAGTTGATGCGTAAATGAAGTGAGTAAATACTACTATTCATTAACGTGTCTAGATTCGCGCGAATTAAGCGAGTAGATGATAGTATACCACACTAAAATACTACATCTACAGCTAGAATATTTATCTATATGATATATTTGTCTACCACTTGATCCTGCTGCTTGAATTGACAGAGATTCCTGATGAAATCACAGTTGATGCGCAAATGAAGTGAGTAAATACTATTCATTCACACGTCTGAACTCGCACGAATTAAGCGAGTAGATGATTTTAGTGTGAGCACCCCATTAGTATACCACACTAAAATACTACATCTACAGCTAGAATATTTATCTCTATAATATATTTGTGTACCACTTGATCCTGCTGCTTGAATTGACAGAGATTCCTGATGAAATTACAGTTGATGCGCAGATGAAGTGAGTAAATACTATTCATTCACACGTCTAAACTCGCGCAAATTAAGCGAGTAGATGATTTTACTCGCGCTTGGTGTGAGCGCCCCATTAGTATACCACACTAAAATACTACATCTACAGCTAGAATATTTAACACCAACTGGAAAAATTTGACAGCACATGAATCATCAGATTAATAACCTACAAATAAATGAGGAAAAGGTCAACAAGGGTCAAGAATGAGAGCCTTAAAGTCCAGTCAGTATTAAATCAGAAATCTTGGGCTTAAGAGGACGGTGTGTACGGTAAGAATTGAGTGTAATTAATTGATCCTGTCTCCCATTTTCATTATACTATATTATACAGCTGGTAACAAAAAATGACTCCAACAAAAGCCATTTTGTTAACAAACGCTTCCCTTGGCATGAAGGAGCAGCAGCCATACATAGAGACTCTATCAAAGCTGCAAGGGGCTTATTCTCCCCCTGATGTCCCCCCCGCCTCACTTGCCTCCCTCTTCCACCAGCCCCCCTCATGAACCTACCTCCCTGTGACGCTGTGTTGTTTATGTCTGCAGCCACTACAATAGCGCAGAGCTCCCTCGGGACTCCTCTGCCAAATCTGCCTCATGAATTATGCATGGCCACGCTCTGACCCCGTGCCTCTCATCTCTATTAACGCAAACCTGACACACGCACACATCCGCGCACACACATGTATAAGCGAGCGGGGATGCCTGCTCGCACACATAAACACGTCAACAAATAGGAGCAGTTGATATCAAGCGCTGACAAGAAGACATAAAGTCAGATAAGGTGCCAAAAATAAACTTGACGGTATAAATACAGCGCCGTACATCAGATTTGAAGGTGGCAGATTTATACGTCTCCTTGTCTTTATAGCCTTCTGAAATTTTATCACCAATTTGACTTCCACCGCTCCCCTCCTCCTTCCTTCCTTCCCTCCTTCCTACCATATCTCATTGTCCCCTTTTTTTCCTTTTCATCCCGTGCCCTTATCTCTCCCATCCCATCTGCACCTTGCTGCTCGCCTCCTCTGTGTGGTATGACACACACTGACAAGAGCAAAATGGATATTATAAAAAGTGAAATAAATAGGGGTATTGCAGCTGAATGCCTGTCTCCTTTATCAAAATGCTCTATTCTTAAGCTTTGATTTGATGGCACAATGCAGCACAATAGAGAGCAGGGAAAATGTCCATCTTTTATTGATTGTGAAAGACAGCGGGGTGCCTGGTGAAGCTCTCAATTTCCTCATATTTTCAGATCAAACAAAAGCAGACCTGGCAGTAATCTTATGTGTCAGATGCGCCCGTATGTCTGTACTGTGGGACATAGAAGCGCCTCATTAGAGACTGAATCCTCAATTTATCATGGGGGAACATTAGTCCTACATTTTATCCTTATTAATATGATAAATGTGTCTGAATCTACGATGTATTTAAATTAAGAACAGCAGCAGAGCAGGCTGTAAATTTTCTCTATATTAACAATCTGTCTTTGGCCTCATGGACCCCTGCTGACCCACTGGGAATCCGCTTCTTTTTTTTTTACATAAACACAGCCACAACCACGACTAGTACCACTGCACCTCCTTATTCAGCATCCATCCATATTAGGCTCTCAAATCCCTTCCTTCTGCCAGCCCTCTCCTGTGCGTTGAGCCCCTGTTTCGCGTCAGCCCCACAATGGCACTAAGCAGGATTTAGGAGGCTGAGGGAGAATTACTCACTGGAGATTAGAGCTCCCTGTCTGTCTGCCTGCACAGCCTGAGTCGTAGGTTAGGGTGAGGTTCAACCACTGAACAAGATATCGGCCTCGGCTCTGTGCTAACTGGAAGAGCCAGGGCTTACTGTTAAATATGTGGCCAACTTTTGCCAAACAGCTAAGCCTCTGCAGTGCTGTGTCTGGTATTGGTTTCATTTTCAGATTTTAGTGTATAACATATCTTTATAATCAGCCTTGATTTACTAGTATTAGCTTTGGACATAGTTACAATTGTCGGCCAGGCTTCAGCAACACTTGAAATCAACTTGATTTTATCAATGAAGGTGGTATAAAGGTATAGCTAGGGCTGGGCGATATGGCCTCAAATCAATGTAACGATATATTGAGCAGTTCACCTCAATAATGATAAATAGACGATAACTATTCCACAAGCTGCTCACCCCCTCCCACATTAACTCTGTCTACTTAAGCCGCTACAACTTTTGAACCGTCCTCCATCTCCTCACCTGTCTTTCCCTCTTTGTTATGGACTGGATGGGGTGGAGTCACGTCTCTGATGTAGGACAGCGACTTAAAGGGACATGAGACCATAGCCTACCTACACACATCCAAATCCAACTTTGATTTATTTATTTTTTTGATACCAAATATATCGATATGGGCAAAATGTCGTTGGTTATTGTTGTAAATTTCGGTATCTGTAAATTTTCTGTGTATCTCCCAGCCCTAGGTGTAGCTAAACATTTTGAGCCAAAAGATTCATTAAATTCCAGCAGGGAGGTAGATGATAAAGTCTACAGTATGCTTATGTCTGTTTGGTGTCTATGAAGATACTGTTAGCAGCAAATTAGCCTAGCCTATAATACATGAAGCGGATTGTCTAGCTAGGCTATATCCAACACTGGCCTATAACCACCCCCAAAAGTAATTCACAGGTTATTGTAAAAGTTTTGTACACATTGAAACATAAAATATACAAAAATAGAGAAATGTTATAACCTGTTATTTAGATAAAAAAGATAGCTAGGCTAGCCTCCTTCATGTTTCCAGTGTCAATGCTAAACCAAGATTACGAGCTAACTAGCTGATTAGCTGCAGGCTTACTATTGTTGATACCATTCAGGTGTGGTATCAACCTTTTTTTTACGAAAATCTCTAATAGTTATTAGTTTCAAAGTGTGGAGAGAGTTATGCCAAAGTATCTTTCTACAGTTACTGGGAAGGGGTGAAGCAGAACCAATCATAACAAACAGTTAACTAGATGAGATTAAATGAAGACTGAAATAAAACAGAAAATTTAAAACATATTTTGATTATTGATCAAACATGTGACTGTAAGTATTCAGTATGTAGTGTTTATTTAACCAACATCAGCAGCAAACCCTAATCACTCAGATTTGTCCACATGCCGTGAGACGATTACTTCACTTGTAGTTTTAAATGTTTGAGTGTTTTCTAACAAACCATCTCTCCACAAAGTTAATTTTTACTCAAAAGTATGCCACTGTTCTCTTTGCGTGGGTGGTTGATTTGGGAGGACAGCTATTTGAAAGTGGCGTCACCAGCGCCGTCTCTTGGTACACTGCTCAGGGAAGCAGATGATTGCAATGAAGAATGAATGGAAGCAAATTTGCATGAGCAGCTGTTTAAAGTGCCTTAGAAAGGCTGTCAGATTCATCAGTTTCAGCTCAGTTATCTCATCTAAGCAGGTGAGAAGTAGCTCTAATCTTCAGCGGTCAATATGACGGGGAAATGTCTACAGCGATACACTCACCTGCTTTGCCTTTCCCTTTCCCAAATCTCAGAGGCGTGGGAGGTCCCCTTTGAGGAGATTTCTGACCTGCAGTGGGTGGGCAGTGGAGCTCAGGGTGCTGTCTTTCTGGGTAAACTCCACGGACAGGAGGTGGCTGTAAAGAAAGTACGAAACATCAAAGAGACGGATATCAAACACCTGCGCAAGCTGAAACATCCCAACATCATCACATTCAAGTAAGTAGAAATAATCGGCTGGTATTAGATTTATGTGTTGCACAGGAATGGTTTGGTTTTGCCATCATTCAAATTACCCAATCAGACTTTTAGCTTCTGTTTTAACACAATCATCATACTTCTGCCGTCTCTCAGGGGTATTTGCACCCAGGCTCCGTGTTACTGCATCATCATGGAGTACTGTGCTCAGGGACAGCTGTATGAGGTGCTGAGAGCGGGCAGGAAGATCCATCCCTCTCTGCTCATGGACTGGGCCATGGGTATCGCCGGTGGGATGAACTACCTTCACCTCCACAAGATCATCCACAGAGACCTCAAGTCACCAAAGTGAGTTTGATATTAAAGTTCAATTTTTCTGTGAAAGTCAACACATCGTTGGATAAATATAACCTGTTTAAGTGCTGTATTAATATCATTTCTAAAGCTGGGAAGAGTTGCAATTGTACAAGTCTAAATGTTATGAGTTATATTTGTGAGTTTCAAGCTGAATCTTACTTTAAATACTTTGATACCCATATTTGGGCTAAAAGTCCCCAGATTAGTAACCTCTGTTTTACAAAAATATATATTTTTTGTCCTGAATTTAGATGTAAAAATGTGCAGACTTTTACTCTGAAAATCCTAATGCTGCTGCACAGGAGTTCATCCTTTTTTTGTAGTGTAAAGATGATGAGTGTGAATAACTACACCTCATTAAAGAGCTGATTTTCTCACCATTCATTGACGCTTGTGTCTTGACTCATACTTGTAACTGCTAATTGCGATGTTTTATGCTTTATTCCAGCATGCTCATCACCTATGATGACGCAGTGAAGATTTCTGACTTCGGTACATCCAAAGAGCTCAGTGACAAGAGCACAAAGATGTCCTTCGCCGGCACGGTGGCCTGGATGGCTCCTGAAGTCATACGCAATGAACCCGTCTCAGAGAAGGTGGATATTTGGTAGGTATAACAATCCTTTTCCACTCTTCCTCTCTGCATTGTTGGACCTCTGCAGTCAGTGCTTATGGTCTGTCTTATCCGTCATAACATCTCATTAGTTACAGCCTACTACAGTATAGAGCCCAGGATCCTATTTCCAGAAAATCTATTCTGTAATATGTACAATATCTCATTACATGAAACTCTATAGGGCCCCTGCCATATCTGATGGGTTACCCTGTGTTAAACCCCGACCTCCCCCTCCTCAATACATCCTCCCCCTGTCTCTCCCTCCATCACTCTTCCTCTCCACCCTGAAAGGAACGCAGGCTAATTTAATAATTGATTTGCCAGATGCTGCAGTGCTCAGGAGAGGCTGGAATAACCTCTCAGCCCGCGGATGGTTTGGCCTCCAGCCAGCAGTGCATTAGCAAAGAAGTGAAAACAGGATTAAAAAGCTTTTGATGCAGAAAGAAAAGCAAAAGCCTGGCTTTATACTTAACAGTTTTGTTTAAATTTATGGAAATGCTGCCGTAGTCCTTAACCACATGGAGTGACTCAGAGAAGCAGCAGCTATAGTGAAGTATAATCTCAGATGTTTTCAGTTTTGTTATACTTTGAACAGGTTAAGACACATACTGTGGATTTAAGCTCCTCTGAGGAGTTTCGGGCTGGATATGAAGTAGTCAGAATTTTATACCAATGCTTCTGTAAGAGCTGCAAAAGCAAACAAGACCATCAGAGAGAAGATTGAATACTCCTATACACGTATCTAATAGACCTGTCACTGAACGGTGTAGGTGTCAGATAAGGTGATTTAAAGAGGCTCCCCAAACAACCTTTTTTTTGTTCCAATGTCAGGTTTCATTGCAAACAACAGAGTTTTATCAAAGAATGAGATTTTTATCAGAAAACACTTTTGACATACAGACAGAGCAAGATTAGCAAAGAGATGAATCATGCTGCTTTTTCCACAGAGGGCATTGAAACCAATATGTCCCTAATGTTACTTACTGAAGCCTAAATCAGCTGGAGATAAAATTTTATAGAAACTAAGAAGTCAATTTAAATATCAATTAACTGTATATTTGTATATTTATTTTCTATAGCTATAGAAACTATAGCTTCCCAAACAGGACAGCAAATACACAAAACAAGTGAAATAAGAAAAAATTAAAAAAACGTTAAACAATCTGTGGCTGACAAAAAGTGACAAACCTGTGTACTTATACAACGTAATGTGATCAATTAGATTACATCTGACAAAAAGCCTTCTTTATACAATTTTACTTGTTTATTTATTTTTATTTTCTTTTATAACATACTGGAAAGTTAAAAGGTGTATGCTTAATTTAGTGAGGTTGCAGTGGGTAGCTTTGTATTATTTTAACTAAAAAAGCTATCTAAATCAGCTAAATATTAGCTTTTTATCTTATTTTGATGCTCTAGTCTGATAAAAATGATTGACCACAGGGGTGAGGTTGCAAACACTTACGAGTATTTAAAAATTCTTCAAATTGAACCAGTATGACAAAGATGTAGCAACGTTTTAACCTTCTGAAGGAGTCCATAAAGCACTAAACAATGTCACGTTTATGATGGCAGAGATTAGGCAGATTTACTAGCGCACATAAATAGGAGGCTGTTGTGAGTATGTTCTCTAGTTTTAGTTTTAAGTTACATTTTATTTTGTGAAACGATACTAACACATCAGAAATATATCTTTTCACAATTAGCAAATATATTGTTTCAAAGCCAGCATCATTATCATTTTAATTTCTCTTTTAGTAAATAAAAAAGTATGGAGATAATAACCAGACAGGAAAAGTCACGTCAAAATCACATGTAATGAAACAAAAGCGGCGTAACCCAAAGTGAAATAAAGAGGAAATCATTCAGCCTGACAAGTAAACTCAAGTTTTGTCTTCTGTATCATAAATCATAAGCAGAATCTAAAAATACTCATGTGAACATAACAAGGTTTTACCCCCACTCAACCCTGCCTGTGATGCTACTGGCACCCTTGGATATGGAATATGGTCACCATGGCAACTAACGAGTCACCAGCAACATATCATCCATAGTTACGCTCCCATGGGGGCTCCAGTATACCTTTCATAATAAACAGAGCAAGAGCTGAAGGCATGAATGGAACAATAAAAACAACAAGGAAATGAAACAAGAAACAAAAGAGGGAAATAATCATATAATCGTAATAATATTCGAACTAACTAACTGTATTTTTTGTGGCTCGTGGTAACTAAAGCTCCTGTGAGGAGTTTTTGGCTGGTTAGGAAACTTCTACATTGTAATTTCTGATACAGTGGAAAGGGACTAACAGCATGCAGATAGAAAGCTTTTTTTTAATTTTACTCTCTTTACTGAAAATATTTAAAATAAGTCATGTGATTTACTGTTTTAAAAGAGGTGAAATGAAAACACAGCATATTTGTAGGATGAGATATAAGATATTCTTCTTTATGCACTGAACTCCCAAAGTTATCAGAAATAAAACAGTTTTAGCTAATTTTTATTGATACCTTTAATTATTATGTCCCCAAACTTGTTTAGATTCAAGTATTTTGTGTCCTCTGTCAAATATCAATACAAACAACTGATTGAGATTGAGATGTAATACTGGGATTGATTTTTTTACTGAATCGTTAAATTAAAAATAGTAACCTGAATCCAAAGCAAAATCATCCTCTAAGTGAAAAGTGACATTTTCAAACCAATTTTTCTTTCCTTTAATTTGACATCTTCTTCAAAGTGTCACAAAGTAAAGATGCGACTTCTCCTCTTCAGGTCGTTTGGCGTGGTGCTGTGGGAGATGCTGACAGGTGAAGTACCATACAAAGACGTGGACTCCTCCGCTATTATCTGGGGAGTGGGAAACAACAGTCTGCAGCTGCCTGTACCTGACAGCTGCCCAGACAGCTTCAAACTGCTCCTCAGGCAATGCTGGTGAGTTGACTTGAGGGTAGATGAAGACAGAGGAGGAGGGAGGGAGGGAGGGAGGATATGGAAAAAAAGAAAAGTTGAAGCATCAGCACAAAGAGAGTGTAATGAAGTTGAAAGCTTTAATTAAGCCGAGAGAGTAAAAGTTGTCTACAGGAGGAAAAGAGGAGAGTAATTATGAGAGGAAAGGTCGTTTAAGTCTACGTTCCTTCAGCGCTGATGAAACATTTGTTGAAAATGTTCACAGGAACTGCAAGCCGAGAAACAGGCCTTCGTTTCGACAGATTCTCCTGCACCTGGACATCGCCTCAGCGGATATTCTGTCCACTCCACAAGAAACCTACTTTCAGTCTCAGGTGAGCCTCATACCGGGAGTGTTCAGTCAATCTGAGAAACTTAATAAAGGAGAAAACTGGACTGACTCATAGTAACCTTTTTGTTGGTAATTGTTTTTCGGGTAACACTTTACAATAACGATAACTTAGAAATAGTAATAGACCATTTATAAATGGTAAGCAGATAGTTTATTAATGTTTAATCATCAATTATAAATAGTATACAGACCATTAATATATTGTACATTTTATCATTTTAAACAACTAACCCTAACTTTAAAATAACTAAGTCAATAATCTAAGTAATGTTTACAAAGTGCTACTGACACACATCTTAGTCTAGATATTTTACAACCAATATTCAAACCCTATTTAAACCTTTAATAAATAGTCCATTAATAACTATTGAAAATTATTAATCATGATTTTTTTGCTTGTTAAAAGTAACTTTTCGCTTAAACATTAATAAACTATCTATTTGCCATTTAAAATTGGTCTATATGCTGTTTTTAAAGAATGATTAATCTATTTACCATTTATAAATCATGGTTATTGTAAAGTGTTACTGTTTTTTGACTAACCACGACAATGTGAGACAGAGTCTGTTTTTAAATACCGTATTTTTCGCACTATAACGCGCACCTGATTATAAGGCGCACCATCGATGAACGTGTCTATTCGCACCTATTTTCATACATAAGGTGCACCGGATTATAAAGGGCATTATTATATTGAACTCATTCAATAACTCCCTGAGGCTACAGTAGCTGCAGTGCTCCGATAAGCCAAAAGGATTTTAAGTGCACCTTATAGTGCAAAAAATACAGTAAATATAAAAAAATCAATCCTTTAAACACTGAGACACGGAGGCCCCTTTTATTATGTTTAAATTCATTCAATTTATATCAAATTTGTTTGTTTTATCAGTGATAGTTCACACATTAAAGACGATAGGACTCAAATGAAGTGACAAACAGCGGCTCAGTGCAATTAAGAGTAAGGGGACCATCATTTCTCAAGTTATAATCACACGCTGTGACATCAGACGAACCCCAGCTTTCTGTCTCTTAATAAAAAGCCTCCTGTCAACAGCAGCCGCTATCTCTGAAACTCATTTTTCTGTCAGCCAAACACCATTTGTTTCCAGTCTGCTGAAGAAACCACGGGCAGTGCAGCTGCGGCGGGGCCTCTGGCCTCTCGGGAGCCCGCTAATAATACCTGTGCTTTCAATCACAACATACTATTTGTTGGTTCCTCGGGTCTTTGTTCCCTGTCACACATGAAGGCTAATTTATGGTCAGAGGACGAGCCTTTCGCAGCCTCCATCATATCCGAGCCTGATGGAGAAGGTCGTGTGATAGAGATGGAGGAGGGGGAGGCGGGTGTGTGTGTACGTGTGTGTGTCTGTGACAGAGTGGGGGATGGGTACGCATGAAGAATATCCCGGACAACTGCAGAATGAACAGATGAAGGACAGGAGACCTTAAGAAAAAAGTATAACTGTGTGTAAAAGAGATGTGTTTACTCATCCATACACAACCACAGCACATTTATAACTCCAGCATGTATAATCATGGGACACACTCGTACACACAAACACACAAAATGAAATTCATTTCATTTCCTCTTCGCCCTCTCCTCCTTTTATACCGTATAATATAAAACTGAAAACCTCTTTCACTCGTCCCACTTATCCTTGATCCTTTATTCCTCCCTTTTCTCTCTTCCTCCCCCCAGTTTCTCCCCTCTCTTCGTCCCATAATGGATTTTTCTTGTGACGTTCGAAAGAAATATTTGCTGCTGCTGCTGGAGTGTATTGATTGCTTTAATGGCAGGGCACATAGAGCAAATAGAGAGGAGGAAAAAAGGGGACCGGAGACGTAGGAGAGTGCGCACAGAGTCCATTAGCTTAATAAGAAGAGCATCACTCCTGCACGCGCAGAAATGCACACGCGTATGCACACACACATGGCTGACATATGTTGTCTCTGCACATGCCTGTTTGTGCACACGCTCATAAATCTGGACTGTCTTTGTCCTTTGATATGACGGGTATCAGATAACAGCTGTCATGCTCCGCTGTGGACAAGAAAATGCCTACGCTGCTTATTTTCTCGGCTCATGTCATGTCAGTTCATGTTCAGTTTCTCTCCATGTGTATTGATTATCATCTGACAGCTTAATGGGGTTTTGTTTCAAGAATGAACCCAAATCAAAGTCATTGCAAAAGGGCTGGGCGATAAAACGATAATGATATATATTGAAAATTAATTTCCCTTGATATCGATATGAAACACAGTCAATATGCTTTTCGATAGTCAGCATTCTGCCATGTCTTAGTTGCTTTGGGTCCACTTCGCGCTAAACCCATCATGTGCTGAATTAGAACAAAGTATGGGCCATGGCGCCTGTGCAGCCAAAACAACCGACCATTCAGTCCGCTTTCTCTAGCGCAACGCCTTACGACAAAACGTCAAAGAGACACAAAGACCTCAAAGATGCAGTAGCTTATTGTATTGCTAAAGACATGCTACCAGTGAGCACTGTTGAATTCCATTTTTTATATCATGATATATATCGATATCAACTGATATGAGAAAAAAAAATATAGTGATAATCTTTCCTATGTCGCCCAGCCCTAAATTCAGTGTATTCTACCCGTAATGTGATGGTTTTGTTTTTATTACTGCTCGAATTAATTCCAGTCTTACTTAAATGTCCTGATAGCGAACTTGTATTCAAAACCTCATGACTACCAATTCCTCTCTGATGCATGTGTTTTATGTGTTTTACCAGGTGGAGTGGAGGGATGAGGTTCGGCATCACTTCGAGAAGATCAAGTCAGAGGGGACGTGTCTCCACAGACTGGACGAGGAGCTGATCAAAAGACGCAGAGAAGAACTCAGGTGAGCAAACGACACTGTAACACTGACACACAAAAGTACTCGAGTGTGGAAATAGTTTAAGGAGATAAGGCTAAGATTACCGTAGGGATCCATGAAATTATAGTAGCAGCAGTAGGTTAATGTTTGTCCCATTTTCCTCTCCGCACAGACATGCGTTGGACATCCGGGAGCACTATGAGAGGAAACTGGAGAGAGCCAACAACCTCTACATGGAGCTGAACGCCATCATGCTGCAGCTGGAGATCAAGGAGAAAGAGCTCCTCAAGTATGAGTCCTTCCACTTATTTACGAAATGTTCTCACTACATTTGGAGTGTCTAAAAAAAATCTAATTTTCACAAATGTCAGAAGTACACTGCAAATTATTTGGTTCTTACCAAGACAAAAAAAAACGTAGATTTAGAAGTGTTAGATAATTTCTCTCGTTTTAAGACTTAAATTCTTATTTTAGATGTTTAACTTTTCACTATAATCGTATATCAAGCATCTTTCCAACCAGGTTTTACAGGGATTAGGATATTGTAGTTTTCTACAGCGCCACAGTGGTGAATGTATGCTTGTTATTCTTTATCCACCAACACTGGTCGAGCTTTTGTAATGAAGAGCAGGGAAAAGTTCATCAGTAATGTGAAGTGGACGGTCATTACCTCCAGTCACATAGGACCGTCGCATGTCACAGAGTGCTCTCTTGTGCCGTGCTGAGTACCCGCTGACATCCATTAACCGAGTGTCGGTTTTGTGTCTTTAAACATCAGGAGGGAGCAGTCGCTGGATAAGAAGTACCCGGGCTGCTTCAAGCACCACAACTCCAGACAGTCCGCCTCCTCCAACTCCATGGAGAAACTCATGAAGAAACGCAACGTCCCCCAGAAACTGCCCTCACACAGCAAGAGGTAAGAAAGGAAGGGGTTGTATAAATCTTGTGTTATTAGATGGCTTTGTTTGACATCTTTCCTTATTGTTTAAAAACCCAATGAAGTGGGTGATGAAAGGTTAGGGTACGATAGAGGATTAGGGCCACATGAAGAGAAAAAAGATAATTACAGGAAAGAGATTAAAGTCGAAATTTTGTATTTGGATTCTGAAAAGACTGTGCTGAAGATTATGATTATGAAGATTATGATGCAGATGCAGGGTTGCCGATGGTTACAGTCCCCCCTGTGTAAGGGGAGATAAACTAAATGTGCATTTTAAAGTTTTAAGAGTTTTTTTCCTTCCCTTATTGCCGTCCATTTTCATTCCAGGCCAGACCTACTGAAGTCCGAGGTCATTCTACCCAAACTGGACTCCTCGATGACCCAGGTCACAATCCCCAACAAGGGCTCTACCTCTCCTGGTCGCTCACGCCGAGGAAAACCCCGCTACAGGAAGGCGGGTAAAGGCAGCAGTGGGGATCTGGCTCAGCTAAAGGCCACTCTCTCCTCTTCACTAGCAATGGTCAACGCCACCACCTCTGTTCCCAGCAGCAAGCAGCACCTTGACCCCAGCGCAGCTCTCAGGGGCTTACAGCATGACCTGCTGCTCAAGAAGATGTACTCCTCAAGCCCAGATCTCATCTCGACCACCCTGGAGGCTGAAGGGCGAAGGAAGGGGCAGCTCAGGCCGGGGCTGGACAGAGCGGGCAGTCAGAGCGCCTCAGCAGGTCTGGGGGAGAGTAGAAGGACTGAGGGTCCGGATGAAGGGCCGGATGTGGGTGCAGGGACTGATGACCTGGCAGACACACCCCCACGCAGTGACACGCCCAGCGAAGATGCAGCATCTATTCCGTTCTCTAGCAGCCCCGACTCGCCATGTGGCAGGGGGGCGGCTGCAGGAAGGGCATCTGTGCTCGGGACAACACGCGTCCCAAATGATGGCGAGGAGAAGGAGGAGGGGACAGTGATCACACGCTCGCCAAGGAGTCAACGCCTCACTCCTGCAGCTCTGCTGTACAGGGCAGCAGTCACACGCAGTCAGGTGAGAGTCAAACAGCTTTGACTGTGGTCCATTTACACTATTTATGTTTGATTTTAAAGCTCCAATGAGAAGTTTTTGACATTTATGAAACAGACTGAAATTCATGTTGTGAGGGAAAGTGAGTGCTGGGAGCAAAAACAGGTGTACTCTAAAATTTTTTTTTTTCTTTAGTTTATTGATGTCCAGCTTTAATTGACACCAGTACGACACAGATAGTCTAACCTTAATCCTAATCCTAACCATATAATGAATTATCAATTTCTGTCCCTCTTATATAGCTGATTTTGACAGTACATCTTCAACTGCAAATTAAAGCTCCTGTGAGGAACTTTTGGTTTGGCGCCCTCTATGGACAATGCAGGCTTTACTTGTCCTATCCTTCACATGCACAAGTCGTGTCTTCTGACAGTCAATTTCTTCCTTCTGACTTTTGACCATCAAATATAGCTTTTAAAAATATATATATTTTAAAAAATATTTCATAAATTTCAAAAAAACTCCTCTCAGTAGCTTAAAGTTTCTACAAACTCGAGGTTTTTAGTCATGCAAGTGATAAAGTCACATAATTAGCAATACGTGTTGATGATTCATCATGTCCTGCTAGCCAGTGCAGCATGATCTCATGGATTCATCATGTTAATTTTGTTCTTATTACTGAGGTCTCACGCATGTTGTTCGTTTTACCCGCAGAGACGCGGACTGTCGTCAGAGGAGGAGGAAGGAGAGGTGGACAGTGAAGTGGAGTTACCAAGGAGACGGTGAGGGAACTACATTATCCAAAACGCACTGTTTCCATCCTGCTGTCTGTGTAGTCGTATATCCATCTATCACACAAAACCAAAACTGCATCCAAAACTATAAGGTTAATGGTTTTTAAAGTGCGCTATGTACACTGCAAAAAAAGGAGGGGGGTCTAAAAACAAGATAAAACAGGAAGATAATTTCACTTGACAAGATTTCTTCAATTAAGATAGTAAGATCTAAGAAAAAGCATCTGGAAGGCTTAAATAGCCAAAAATGCTGGTTTTAAATCTAAGATTTTTTGTCTCGGTAGGAACCAAATAGTTTGCAGTGTATCTTCATATAGGCGGTCATGGGAAAAGTATGTGCTGTTTTGACACGAACATTGTCAAAGTTAAGTTTTCTCAAAGTTTACCCTGTAGAATTTACACTCCAGCCCGTTGGATTTGCATGTAGGTCAGTGTCATCCCCAACCCTTTTCTTCACATTCACTCTGACTGTTTTCTCACTCAGGCGGACTGTGAGTATGACCAAGTGCCAGTCCCTGTCCACCTTCAGCTCAGAGAACTTGTCTGTCTCGGACGGTGAGGAAGGAAACACCACCGATCACTCCCACAGCGGCACACCTGACGTGGTTAGCACCAACACCGACGAGCGTCTAGACGACAAGAGCGACGACCTGCTGTCTCAAGGTTCGGAGATTCCCGCTGACCCGTCTGACCCGACCCAGCTGGGCTCTGATGGGCTGTCTGAGAAGGAGGCTATCCTGCGGCAAGTCAAGACGCAGCTGGCTAGTAACGATCACAATTATGAGGTAAGCTAAAAATATCAAGGGAACTTGATATATATAGAGATGGGAGTCTGCTTCTTGTCCTGCTGTCAAACTACAGGAAGGGTAATCTTGTTTTTTCCCCATGCCAGGGTCTGTATGATGACTCCGACTGTGACAGTGCAGAGTTGGACCACTCAGGCAGTGCTGAACCCAACCAACCTCCAACCAACTGGTGAAAATCTGACACCTCAGCCCTTTCGGTCGACTGCAGATCAGGTTTTTAAACGCCTCTTTTGCTTTCCCCAAACTCGATAACCCTTGGAGCCGTGTTTAAGAGCATTGCACAGAGGCAGTGAATGAATCTGCTTCCTTCTTCACTCGCTGGAATTTTGGTGAGTGTTCTCAAAACCCTGATACACCTGAGAAAAAAAAAGACAGAAAATCCCTTTTACTTTTGGGATAAATGCATTACACTGATATGAAACTGAATCTTCGAATAAGCTGAGTTTTAAAAGCAACTGGCCTGGGATCAGCTTCAAACTTCTCCTCAGCAACAGAGGCCTCAGTCAGAGGGGCATCTACCCGACTGTCTCCTGTTATCTTCTGTGTCAATTTCTGTTTTATCTCCATTACTAGTATGTGTCATATTAATTCTCATCATTTCATGTGACGATTATGAAATACAATCAGGGCATTTATTATATTTTTTTCTTCACTGACATTGATTGCACTTAATTTGTGAAAAGTACTGATTTCCTCCTGATCATCGTGTCATACTTGATTTACTATCAAAGATTATGCACTGATTAATTTATAATTTTTTTACAGTATCTTCTAAACCTTGTTTACATTTTTGATTTGTTTACATTTTTATTTATATTTGTAACATGGGTTCTGTTTCCACTTTCTACTCCTGTGTTGAAATATCAATGTAAATATGTGATGTTGTAAAATGAACAAATTTTTAAAAATGTGAGATTGTAAAATTTTAAAGGTGCTGATGTTTCTCATTAGGTGGCGCTACTCTATTTGAACCTCATAAAGCTTATTGATGGTAGAATGTACTGTAGCTGCTGTTCATGTCTGAGCGTCGAAACACGGATGAACGAGGAACAACAGGTGAACAAAGAAAGAAGCAATATGTCTGCTCTGGTAGAGTATGTGCTGTCCATAGACTGTATATAGAATGGATGCCTTCTGCCTCCTTGCTGGGTGAAAAACAGCTCCCTCTGGTGACGGGCTGCAGTATAGGTCATAAATCCCGCCTCCTCCAGCAATCCCTATGGAGCCGTGGACAAACTTTAGAAATTAATCACACAGAATATAAATTTTTCTCCCCCTGGTTGCGATGTTGACATGTAGTTACTGTTAAGGTCCTTTCACACCAGGACCGTTTTTGTCATGTGATTATTTCGGACGTCAATATATTTTTTTTAACCCGTATCCTGTCAATACAAGCGTTCACATCAGTGACGTTTTACCATCCTGCATTATACAGCATTTATTTTTTCGGATCATCGTTGATTTTTCTTAAGTTTCGCATACTGTGTGTCCACTTCTGACCAATCAGATTGCGTATTGTTGCAACATCTGATTCACTGGTATATCCAACATGGCCGACCAGCTGATTGTTTACAAACATTACAAAGATAACAACCTAAAGGACAACTTGCGGAGAGTCATAGCGTCGCATCTCTCATATGACAATGGTTTGTGTGCTTTAACAGTTTGCTAAACGTCTTTAACTTTCATCTGTGCTAACGTAAACCAACGGTTGTTAACATAGTTTCATGTGCTTATCTCATCGCCTCTGCTTGGCTATAAGTGCTGACCGTTTGGCTTGGGCGTGTAATGACGTTTCCAGCTTTTCTAGCCAATCAGAGGTAAAGGAGGCGGGACTTTCCCCGGGAAAAGTCTTCCCTGGGATGCGTCTCTTTCCCCCGGAAAGTCGCAAAATCGCATCTGGCTTGATGTGTATGGTCAGGCGTGTCAAAGTTCGCCTCTGAATATTTAGTAATTTCGCGTTCTATATTCGCGTCGCCCTGGTGTGTAAGGACCTTAAGACTGGTTTGTGCTCAAGTCCTCTTTTTTTCTGTACAGCTCCATTTTTAAAAGTTATTAGGGGGTTCATGTTTTCTATGATTGACACTTGATACAGCCTATGGGCGTATGAAGATTGTGGGGCTCATCCAGGGATACGCTGTTTGAGCCGAGCATCAAATGCGTCAAATGTGTACAACGCTACTGCGCAGGAAGTGAAGAAAATTCCGAAAATACAGAGAGCAATTCGGCTTCAAATTCATATCTTAGCAGAAGGCGGAATCAAGTCGTCCATAGTATATACAGTCTACGGTGCTGTCATGTTACAAGGCAAAGGAAAAACAGTGTGGTTTATATGAGGCTGAGTCTTTAAAATTGAAGTATTGCAGTGTTTATTGAAGTGTAATGCAATACTTGTCTGCGAGCCCCTTTTCCGAGGATGGGAGGTTTTCTGAGCATCAGAACAGCATGATTGTTCATAAGTGTGGTCTTTGTGACTCAGCAAAATAAGAGTGAAAGGTCCGTCCACTGAGGGGAAAAAGGCAACAAAAGACTGTACATTTTCTGAGTCATTTCAATATATAACAGATCAATGGCTTCTGGCACGTGAATGATGGGGACACAAAACAGCAAACAGCCCTCAGAATAACAGTGGATTTGTGGTCACAGGGTCACAGTTCCTAAAGTAGCACGCGCCTTTGATTACTGTCATGCCAAGTACTTCAGTTTCAAAGCACTGATGTGATTCAGAAGTTGACAGGAGTAGCCTTTAACATGGGAATAAGGCTGAAAGTTGAGGACCCTCATTATCCGTTTCTCATAAAGTTAGTGCACACCTACAGACCCGGTACGAGGTCAGCTGATGTCCCCTTTACCTGAAGGTGGACAGTCTCATTTTCACTAATGTGTAAGGGCTCCTTCACAATTTAGTGTCATAAATCAGCTCCTGATGTATTTGTGTCCCTTGACAAGCCTTCTAATGTGCATGTGATTCAACTTGACTGTGTTTCTACCCGTTACATTCAGTTACGACCGGTCAGGTCCCACTCAATAAGCTAGAAATGGCAGCTTCTATTTTTGTTATCTGGTGTTCAAACTTTCCATTTGTACGGAGTTTCAAACTGATTGTCGCCCCAAGGTTTCCAGCTAGAAATCCTCCCGCAGGTGTTGCCAAAAAGCAAAACTACTGCCCTCTAGTGTCTCGATTGAGGAGGTACTTGTTGCCCATGCTGATCAAAACAACCCTGTACAGACTGAAATGTTTGCTTTTTGTACTGCATTATTGTAACTGTACAATAAATATATTTATGAAACAGTTTAAATAAAATAAATCAGTGAAATCTCAGTTGGAGTATTCAATGTATTCACACAATGACAAAGTTGTGGTTTGAGCATTTCACATCTTTTATTCCTGTATTTTTTTAACAATGTGGCACCCAGGTCTACAGTCTCAAAAACGTGCACAAAAGTTTTTTTTCTTTCCTGCAAATAAAAAATAAAATAAATTCTGACTCGAGCAAAGCAAAGAGCAGGAAACTAGTGTTAACTCACAACCCTTTCTTTGTCTAGTTCCAGAGCTTCCATGATTTCAGTTCTCAGCCTCATCACATTTAATAGACAGATCAGTCAGTGTCCAGGAGTTTATCCCCACCCCCTTTGGTAGTTTAAAAAAAAATATTTCCTCCATTTAAAACAAATATTTCAACATGATTTTTTTTTAGTATATATCAGTCTTTACAAAAAAAGCGAGAACCCTCTGCTTCCGATCCCTGGAGCCAAGTCCAAATCCCCCAAAAACCTCCCAATCCCAGCAAAATATCGACACAATTCCAGGAGCAGGAGACGGGAAAAACCAGGAATGACATGTAGAGGGTGGAAAAGTGACACGTGGAGTCAAACACATTTTAAATGATCTGGCTAATTCAATTGTGAGTGTCAAAACATTTGTCGTCAAAACCAAATGTAATGAGTGCCAGTGCATATACGGCTACGTTTTCTCTTCAGTGACACAAGTGTAATTTATGTTACAAGCACTTGAGTTGAAAATGTGACAAAAAAGGGGAGGATGCTGGGGATAATTAAAGCAAGTTTAGACATAAAATGAACAAACTGACCGACATGTGGAGCTGGATGAGGAGAAGGGAAGGGGGCTTGTGTATATAAACACAGAATAAAACAGTCACTCTATTCTTATTTTTGATTTTTTTTTTTTTAATTTTTCCTTTTTTGTCTTTTCCTTTTTAAAGAAAAAAACTGACTGTACAGAACTAAATCTATATGCCTATTACGAGTTATCAAACTCTACTTCTCTGTGATGGCGAAGGAAGAAAAAAAAATAAAAATAAAAAGGATAGAGAGCGAGGAATTCGTCCGAAAAAGAAAAAAAAAAAAGTCTAATAACAAATCATTAAAACCTCCAACTCGACTCAAAAAAAAGGAATTTAAAACCTAATTGTTTGCTTCTCGACTAAAACCAAAACAAAAGGAAATAAATAATGATCAAATCAGAGGCAGGTGAACATGATTTCATGAGGAAGAGGCAGTATAATATATAAACTCTTGAGTCGGATAGTTGCATTGACTGCTTAATGGTAGCCGATGATATAAAAGTGAGATTTAGTGCAGATGCAGTGTCCTATCAGTTGGCTGCCAGTCCTGTGGCCTCAGAGGAAAGCCTGGAGAGACAGACAGAGAGACACCCGGAGACCAGGGAGAGAGAGAGAATAAGGCATGCAATCAGACAGACAGGATAAATGTCATTTTACTCTACATCATCACATCATCATCATAAAATGCTTCTTTAAATATTAAAAAACAAAAACAAAAAACAAAACAACTACTACGGTTTGTTTAATGACCACTTTTCTTAACCAACAGCTGTTCAGAGTCTGAGTACAAACCAACACTGAACAGTTTGGTTATGGAGCTGAGCTGAAGAAAGTTCAACATCTGGGAAACACTTCTTTGCATTCTTAAAAGTAATCAGAAGAGATAGCAGCCTATCACCCTTTTAACTCAGCTCAGCACAAAGACAGGAAACAGTTTGACAGAGCTCGCCCGGCTCCATCTGAGTGTAATCCAGCTACCAGCACTCTGAAAGCTCACTTCTTAGTACTGCATCTTCTATTTTTACCGCACAATAAAAACATGCAACCTCCCCTTCTTGTTGTCACTGAGGAGTTGCCAGGCAACAAGCTCATGACAGGAAGTCATTTTCCCCAAGCTCTAGAAATATCTGGACACGCTGTCACTGCAAAACCAAAATGAGTTGGTTTGAAGGATTGATGTTGTGAATCACTCAGGCGATGGTCTATTGAACACTGGGATTCAGAGGAGTCTGAGGTTGAATATTGACACTTATTGGCAGGAGTAGAATAGATCATAGGTCTGCTGTGGTAGAGTATGTTAGGGTACCCAATATTACTTTTGCAGTAATACATTCAGATTAATCTTAACTCTGCTTTTTAAGTAGTTTAACAGCCTGTTACAGAACATTTTTTTAGTGGCGCGATCAAAACTCCCTGAATTATGTTGAATATAATAGGAGCTTCAGTAATATTGAAATAAAATCGATACAGCATAGTATCGTGATATTTTGCCTGTTTGTCCAGTGAGGTTAGCAAGGTGAAATAGAGCAGGAGATAGTTAGTGCAACAAGCATAAGATTTGCAAGACGTGCTACATAAAAATAAAATCCTGTGTAAATAAGACAAACATAAAGGAAAGACAAATACTAAATTAGCTAACGGTCGAAAAAATGTTAAAAATTGCAGTAATATTGTATCGTGGCCAATATCGTATCATGGCCCAAGTATCGAGATAATATCATATTGTGGCCCAAGTATCGTGATAATATGTCGTGGCCCAAGTATTGTGATAATATTGTGTCGTATTGTGGCCCAAGTATCGTGATAATATCATATCATGGCCCAAGTATCATGATAATATTGTATCACGGCCCAAGTATTGTGATAATATCGTATCCTGTCTCAAGTATCATGATAACATCGTATCATGTCTTAAGTATCACGATAATATCGTATCGTGGGGCCAGTAGTGAGTCCCACTCCTAATATTGGACACATATCCCTCCAATCATTACATTTCAGGGTGAAATCTAGCGCTCTAGCTTGTCTTTCCAATTGCAATTCTACAAAAGAATCAAGTAGCAGTCAAATTTATTTCATATCATGATGATATATTTTGTATGGACTTGGATGTCACCCGCAGGTCAGACCATAGAGGTTTAATGTTTTTTTACTGGTGCTTAAGAAGATTAACTGGTGGTGCAGTTAGTAGACTGACTCCTTGTTTCCCATCTTTGTGTCGAGCTAAATCAACCACCTTTTAATAACATGCTTCCTGCAGAGCCAAAGAGATTTCTTAACTTTAAACTGTAACGATAAAGCGAAAAAGCGTTTCCCAATATGTCAGACTGTTTGCTTAACCTGAATCTATAACAACTGGGTGTCATTATATCACCTATTTAACAAAAAGATCTAAATGATCGGTGGCCTTTGATACCTGAGGACAGATTTAATTGGAAGTAATATTACAATTGCTTCTTACACAAGCAATATATAAATTAACAAAATCACCATGTTACATGTACTTTAACATCATGACTGCTTACAATAGTCACTCAAAATTCACTAGAAGAAAAACTATCCCCATAAATACAATGTGACATCTTAAAGAGAGCCGCTACCTGAGCAGAGCTTACACAAAGAGAGAAATGCTTAAGTGTCCATGCTAAGTTCAGAGTCTTTAAAAATATAATGCACTCAACAGGTTATTTCTTAAAGAGACAGGCCGGATCAAGCTACAGATATCTACTTTATAAATATGGCAGCAACCATGTGTCTGGCTGTGTAACACGGGTTTGTGTGCGTTTGTTTTCTGTTGTAAGTGAAGCATGGCATGGCTCAGCCAGACACAAAAGCGAGTGCAGGTACGGACAACAACATTGTCAGCACTTCAGTAGTAGATGACTTTTTTTCCTTGGTTAGTAAGGGGAGAGCCTCCGCCTTTTAGACTTGGAGCTCAACTCGGGAGCGATTTTGGGCTCAGTGGGCATTGGGTGGGCGGGGTTACTGGCCCCGCTGACAACATGGAGGGCCAGGAGAGGGAGGGGCTTGAGACTGAGAAGACTTGACACACAGGCAGGAGAGCTGGGGAGCAGGGAGTCAGTGGAGGAGGAAGAAGAGGAGGAGGAGGAGGAAGGAGGAGGAGGCGGCCCTGGAGCCAACAAGGACAGAGGGATGGAGGCTGAGGGGGGCACCACACAGGAAGAGGAAGAGGAGGAGGAGGAAGAGGAGGAGAAGGAGGAGGTAGCGGCAGAGGAGGTGGTGGTGGTAGTAGTAGTAGTAGTGGTAGTAGTAGTAGTAGTAGAGGTGGAGGGAGGGCACAGGCTGGTCTGTTCGGGGTTCAAGGAGGAGGAGGAGGGAGGAGGTTTAGAGGACTCTACACTGTAGAAAGAGAGACAAGGAGAGAGGGACAACACAGTCGGGATGGGTCACAGGGCAGGCTGGTGAGCAATGGGGAGAAGGAAGGGGGGGAGGAAGGGAGAGGAGGAGGGGTGAGGGGTGAGGGGGGGATCACTCAGGGATATGATCAAAACACAAGACAAAAGCTTCATTAGAAAAGAATGTGTCAATCCCAAACTAAATCAATGATTTTCAAAGACAGAGGGCGAACCCTCTCTAGTGAAGGATCAATGTGGAGTCAAGGGAAAAGAAGCACACATGCAGACTGACAGAGAGGTAGCAACGACACAGTGATGATTAGCAGAAGCCACAAATATACCCTTAAATAGTCCATTAAATAAGAACAGAAATTAAAGCAGCAGGTGGGCCAGGTTTTCTTTTTCTTTAACAGATTAGTGACTTTGGGAGACTTGGGAATAACTCGACCAGCTTCTCCTGAACACATCCATCAAAGTGACACAAACATACCTAATGTTTGTTTGTTTGGGTCAGTTTCTGCGAAGCGCTAAAATCAGGTCACAGTGATGATCTCACCTGGCGTTGATGAGGTACTCTGCCAGACTGATGCTGGCAGGCGACCCTGTGATGGTGACCTGGCGGTCAGTCGATCCATCCACTGGATTTGCAATCTTGATCTGGGCGCCTGACATTTGCCTGATCTCGTTGATCTTTGCTCCCTGGCGGCCAATGATGCAACCGATGAGCTGTCGTGTGAAGAGAGCGAGACAGTTAGGGGAAAGAAATCCACAAAAGTGCGTCCTTAAAATTCTTCTGCCTTTAATTTCCCACTCTCAGTTTTATCTTTATCACATTTATCATGGATGGATAATGAAATATGCATTGGCTTAATCAGGGGAAATGACTTTGAAATCTTACATCATTTGGAATGGTCATTTCATGTGAACTGGTTTGGGCAGAAGCATCTATTCCTGAAAAACAAGCAAGACAAGAAACAAAAGTGAGGTTTTGTTATTTCTAACAGGTCAGAGTGTAAAAAAAATGAGTCAAATGTATCAGGAAAACAGTAGTAAAGGTTTGATAACAATGAAAAAAAAAAAAAAAAAAACTTTCAGATTAAAGCACCTGAGAAGAACGTTAAATTTGGGTTGATTATGGCGCCCCCCTGTGGACAGAGATGTGCCTCGCATCTCTTTGCTTATTTCTGGCAAAAATCTCATTCTGCTTTCTTTGAAGAGCCAAACACCATAAAAACTGGATTACAAGTCTTACCAGGGCTGTCAATGGATAGTCGAAATTTGAATATATGTGAAAATATTTAAAAAAAGAGATTTGAATGTGAAAAATAATATTTGAATATTAATTAAACAGCAGGCAAAAATTGAAAAACAAAAGAAAGAACGAAAAAAAAACTGCGGCTGCTTTGCAAGTGAGTGCACTGTAACGATGGGTCAGGGACAGGTCACAGGGGACGATATTTTTTCATGGGATGGTAGGGGAAGGTACTGCCTACTTCTCCTCTGATTGGCTAGAAGTGCTGTGCTCCGATTGGTTATTCCTTATGGCTGTGAGACATCATCATCTGTCGGGTTAGGGTTAGGAGATTAAGAATTGTGATAATGTTCTGTTCGATGTACAGAGCCGACAGACCGTGCTCGGCTTGAGCGTGTGATGACGTTTCCAGCTTTCCTAACCAATCAGAGGCGAAGGAGGCAGGGCCTACCATCCAATAAAAAAAATATATCGCTCACAGGAGCTGCACATGAAGTGAGACTCGACAAAAACCATCCATGGCACATGCAGAGAGAGATGGCGGGAGGTTCGGAGCCAAACTCAGAGAGAGTGGGCTGGACCCCAACAAACTTTAGAAGCTCTGTTTGAAAATTCTTATGATTTTGGGCAGAAACAGTAAACACAAAAAAATGCTGCACAAGATAAAATTATATGCAAGCTGTGTAAGCTAGATATGCAAATACGTTCGAACCTATGTGTTAATTTTAGGACAAATAATCAAACGTCATTTTGGAGCAATTTTGACAGCCGTAAGTCTCACTGAAGCAGAATGAGAAAGTCAGCCCCCCACCCCTGTGGTAATTATTTTGCTTTTATCGATCATGACGGGATTGTAAATCAATTCCAGTGTCTCACAGCTGGTTACTAACTTCTCAAAGAGACCTCCAGTCTTCAGTTTGTCTTTTGAACTACATGTGATTTATTACACGCTAGTGATGAGTATCAAACACTAGGATCAGCTTCAACCATAAAACAGAACAAATTACAGTCTATTACACCCCCAATATCTCTGAGAATGGATCAGAAAGTTATAATTGCTATTATTACAGTAGATGTTATCAAAAGTGGAGCAGGCTCCTGCTGCTCCGGTAAACCATCTGTGATGTTTCGTGAATTATTAACTATTAAGGATAACGAGTCAATTTCATTGTTTCACTTTGTTACCAACACAATACTCTTTTCTCCAAACTGATCTTTATGATTTTGTATGAGTCCAATCATTTCTGACTTCTCGTCCACAAGGATCTATTTGTTTTGTTTTCGTACCAGTGAATCCCTGGTTGCTGGGTGCAATGGGGAAGGGGCTCTGCTGCATAGCCAGCTGGTGAAGCTTGGTGAGCTGTGGAGAGATAGCAGCAGAGGAAGACTGTGAGAGTGAGAGAGGAGGCAGGGAGAGAAATGGAGGAAATGGGGGGAAACACAGAAGAGGGGAAACAGAACAGAAACAGCACAGTCAGTTCACACTGATACACACACATTTAAAAAAATAAAAAAGAGAGAGGCTTCGCTTTGTAATCTCTTTTTATGGCTTTATGCGAAGTACTCCCACAGGTAATCCTCCCGAGTGCAAGAGAGGCAACCCCACAGTGACAATAGAGAGGATGGGGAGCTCTTAGTATGAACTGAGACCATCTTAGTAATCATACCTTTAAATATCAACCCAATTCATGAAAGAGAGAGTTGTCTTTGTTGCTTTTTAAAACGAATCAACAAGACAGCTAATGTTAAAGACTTACCCTGCCTTAATGAATGGAAATTATAGCTGTTTAAATGTTGAATAAATGTTGAATCCTGGAGATAAATTATTCCATTTACCAGCTGAGAAGACAGCTTAAGAGCAAAACTCTGGAAATTTGTGTTTTTCCCTTTCAGGATACTTTTTTTCAACAACTAAAATAAACACAGCTAGTTGAATTATGTTTAAAGGTCTTCCCTCAAACTGTGATTAAAACCAGCATAAAGCTGACATAGAAACAAAGGAAATCAACATTTCTCCAGGTCCGAGTGTCCACCAGCACATCTTTGGCTTTGAGGCAAATTTTTTTTTTAAAGTCAGGATACCTTCAGAGTTCATGATTCACAAGGTTTTCACTGCAGCACAGGCTCTTCCTCTTTTCCAAAAACAGACAAAAATAAAGTTTAAAATGGCCACAACAAAATCTGATTTTTTTCACTCCTGTTCTTCTTAGCAGGTTGAGGGCTGCTATATACTCTCTACTTAAACTCTGATTGATACACGACTGGAAACTCTCAACCAGAAGCTAATACTTTTACAAAACTTTCATAAGGGTTTGTCTAAAGGATGAAATGAGACTGAAGCCTGAAACATACCGGATTTGTGTTGAGCGCATTACGTCAGCATCGCATGTCATGCAGCAAATAGGTTCCCATTCTAATCAATGCAGCATCGTACACAGGATGCGCATCAGCTCTGTCACAGCTCCGTCTCAGAAGCGCGGCTCTGCTAGAGATACGCGCCGAGTCTATTTTCTCTGCTCTACACTTCCAACACGTGTCAATCTACACAGGGTCGTTGAAGACAGGATGCCAAGCATAAAAACCATGCCTGCCATCCGGTAAATTTCAAAATAAAACACCAAATGCGAACCCCTTGACTGTGTAACAGTTCATGAAGATGAGAAATACTTCCTGGTTATAGATTTATCAGTAACACAGAACAATCCAACGGTCAATCCCTGATCCATGTGGACCCCAACAGGACTTTTAACATAAAGGAACATGGTTTACTTTATAGAGGCTCAACAGTCACTGAATTATATCCAAATTAGCAGGAAATACACCACAGAAAGGCAAAACAACCTGTTGTGAGCATGTTGTTTCCTCTATACTGAGCCCAGCTGACTGGGGCTGCACTACACTGCTGACACGCTCCAAACATGCACCCTGTGGGCGATAGACGGCACTGCTTGACGAAGCAGATACGCAAAGCTGACAGAACGTGCTCAACACGGATCCTGCAAGTTTTCGGCTTTATGTACACTGAGCTAGGAGTGAAGTGAGGTGAGTAATCTTTGAAGGAGCCAAATTTGATTCGACGTAAACTTCTTGGCCAGGTACAGCTCTGATTAAAACACCCTCATTTATTTCCGACTCAAACTCCCTTGTTCTGCTTTCAAGATCCACTTTCAAACAAAACCATAAGAAACAGTCTTTCATCACATCCAGTTCTCCTGATGGAGCCCGCTTTGGGTCATTAAAAAAAAAAGAGAAAGATTAATTGGGTTGAGAGACACAAAGTACTAATGAAGGGTTACAGAGACAGACGGGGAGAAAAAAGAACCACATGTTTATCTGGGACAGACTAATGAACGAAGCATGTAACACAAGACAGAACAAAAAAAAAAGAAGAGAAAAGAGTGAGCAGCGGGAACAGATTATTATTCATGGAACAGTGGAGATTCTGGACAAACACAAACAACAAATGTCAGTTCAATTAGCAACCGACTGTCGATCAACTGAGGAACAAAAACAAACATGGAGTACTGACATCTCCAAATGACTCAGAACCTGATCATAGTGGGTCAAATTAAATTAGGGGCATGTTCAGATACAGTTAGAGGCTGTAAAATGAGGCGTGGGAGGGTGGGTGGGTGTGCAGTTGCATATTTTGGGAGAGGATAGCTGTAATTATGGGTGGGAAGTGGTGAGGGGGGTGGGGTCATGTAAAAATGTCTACTGCACTTACATCTGGCTGTGGAATCGCGTGCTGTCCTTGTACGGCATATGCCTGAAACAAATGAAAACAAAGCTTTCATAGGCCTCACATCTGATTTGGATTTTTTGGTGAAGTTCACTCTGCAGCTTCATCTCAGTTCAAATGAGAATCTCCTTAAAATCGGCATACATCAAAGCCTGTCCTTAACTAATACCATGTGATAACATCAACACGCAAGTCTTGTCCAAAGTCTCCACATTTCTGGGAAAAAAAAGAAATCTTAGATACATTAAGAAACCAGGAGGAGGAATTTCTCTCTTTAGAGAATAAAAAAAAGAAATTCTGTGAGATAAAAAGACCTTGTGTTGTTAAGCTGACAAGCAACAGAAAGCATTTGGTTCAGACAAACAATAGTGGGGAGAAAAGCCAAAAGCTCTAAACAATAAACATTAACAGAGCAAAGGAACAAAGAGAGAGAAGGTCTGTAACACACGGTAAATATCAGGTTTGAAAAAAGCTCTTCAAAGTATCACAAGAAGAAATCTTGACTACAGCTAAATCCTCAATTTAGAGACTTTGCAAATTACAACCATGATGTATAAAAATGGATATGTCCCTCACAGTTTTTAACATTCATATCTGCAATGTTCATCCCAGATCCACATCCAACACAAACACTGGTTTAAATGACAGACAAGTACAGCAATGAAACAACCCCACAGCACAGTGGATAAAAGGGATGGATCTGTGTCCACCTGTCATGCCCACTGTACCTGTCCGCCTGCAAAGATGACGGGGGATCCTGAAGGCTTGGGTCGGTAGGGGATAGTGACCCCCTTAGGGGGAGACTGAACAGAAGACAAAAAGAAGGCAGTGAGTAAAAACATTCACACCCGATTTTATTGCAGACAGATTGAGGGAAATCCCAGCAGGCTAGAACTGTGTTTTTTGACTGGTTCAGCAATCAAAGCAGAAAAGTTAAAAAGTATAGTTTAAAAAGTAAAAGTCATAGATGCACGAGTAAAATAATACGGATTGATGCGACTTGAATATGTTTTATAGCTGGTTTTGGATTGGGGTTACAATCTATTATTATGTAAATAAGTTAACATATTTTATTTTCAGGTCAACAGCTGCCACTACATTTGCTTTGATGCATTTACAATAAAAAAAAACCATAATAAATAAATAATAACAACAACAACAACAATAACACATTTTATTCATGATGTGCCTCACATCTGAGAAAACAGACCTCAAAGTGCACACAGTAAAAGGCAATAGTAAAAACAATAAAATAGCGATAAAAATAATCATAAAAACAACAGTCAGAATATAAAAATATAAAATCATGAGTTATGAGTCCACTTACCTCGAGCATGACCACACAGATCTGCTTCACACACTCAATTATCGACTGGGGGGTCCCAGCGATGGTGATGGCTCTCTCTGTGGAGTTTGGAAGCATGTCTCCTGCCACTTGTACCTGAGCACCGGTAGACTGGAATACAAATGCAGAGTATGAGGAAACCGGACCTGATGTGTTTCAGTGCTTGACTGGGAATGATGGGTCAATGCTGCAGAGAAAAAAGCTCACTAATTCCACTACATGTGTTTCGTATGCCATGGTCTTTTTTTCTCTCGCATACCTCTCGAATTTCCTTGATCTTGCAGCCACCTTTCCCAATGAGGGAGCCGCACTGGCTGGCAGGCACCACAATGCGCAGAGTCACTGGGGGCTTGCTGGTGGCTGTGCTGTTTGTCATTGAGCTGCTTATGTCCTGAAAATCATATAAACAATCAAGGTTAATGTAGTTTGTGGTTAAGCCAATTACTGCCGACCGGTGAATCCATTACGTCTTTATTTCTCTGACCTACCTCCTCAAGCTTTTCAATGATCATGGAGAATGCTTTAAAGATGGCGGTGGTTGGACCTGCCAAAGTTATGATCCTCTCAGGACAATTGCCCTCAGAGATGTTGATGCGAGCCCCACTCTGCGAGGAAAGAGTGACGCAAAAGGAAGAAACAAATTGAGAGAGCTCTTTGTGGTGAAGCCAAACTGCAAATCTGCAAAGTGTGATCTCTTGGTAATTGTAACATTACATCCTGCTTCAATAACTGGAGCACAGAAATAAGAAGACACTCACCTCTTCTCTCATCTTCTTCACAGATTCACCTTTCTGTTGGTAAAGAACCACATCTGAGTCAGACCTCTGAAACTTTCAGATACATTTTTAAATATGAAAAAAAAGTTCAGGTACAGTATACAGCCCTCTTACCTTGCCAATAATACTTCCGACTTCCTGAAATAGGAGGAAGATAGGTTCATTAGATTCATTTAACTACTATTACTACCTCTACCACCAATAAATGAGGCAATATATGCATTACATTTCTTTATTTACACTCTTTGAATCAGGGTTAAAGGGATCAAAGTTGTTTACAAGTGGTTCAGCTAGTTGTCCCAAAACTGGGGGAAACACTCAAGCAGCCTGATTCATCATAATTCCTAGCTTGGTTTGTTGTTTTTCACTTTTTGTTTCTGTCTAAGCCTACACAGACTCAAGATGGTGCTTTTAACCACAAAAGAGACCCAGGATTTCTTAAAGCAAGCACATAAACTGCAGGCAGCTTCAGGATGATAACTATTTTTTCCTGTTACTTTTTTAATTCCCAGTTTGATATGTTAATAGTATCCACTGTGCAAGGTGATGGATTTGATACATTTGCCACATTAATAAGACTCCAGATGCAACAAGTACATGCCTTTACTGCAACTGGAAAAGCTACACCAGGCTTATTTGCACAACATGCCTGCCAGTGGTGCATTTTACCAAGTATCTGCTGTAGAGCTGACAGCGGTGTCATTTGATATTCCATTTATTGCTGATATATTTGGCTCTGTCATCATTCACAGAGAATCAGAGAAGAGATGTGTACCGCAATCAAAGAATCAATGATTTTGCTCTCAGTTGAAAAGCAAACAAGTTCCATTAGTAGTGAAAAATACAGACACAAACCGACATCTGAGCGCAGCGGGTACAACTGGGAGAATATCCTGTACAGATGTGAGGCAAACTCTATTTTCTATTTCAAAAGGTACAATGAGGCAACACTCTAGACATCACCCCACTTTGCTTTGAGATACAGGATCCCATCACCGAGTCAATACACTTACTCATCACTTCAAAGTCCTTGCCCTTTTTACCCCCCGGGGGAACACTCATACCCATAAATATAATACCACAGACTTTTAGAGTGCCGACACAAGCAGCTGATGGATGATCTCACCTTGCCATGCATGAGCAGCCTGATGGTAAGGGTGACATTGAGTCCACCTTCAATCACACCGGAGTCCATGACTGCAACTGAGCTGTTTGAAAAGAACTGGGGTCTTTGGTCACCAAGATGGATCTGAGGGGCGGATGAGAAATCACACATGATGTAACAGATTTTGATGCTAAGAAGAAATGGTGTTGTGCTCCACATATGGTCTTCAAAAGTGGTAGATAATAAACATCTCTCTTTAGGACATGTTCATGGTAAAATTCCTTGCTTTGAAGAGATAACAGCAGGCTTTGATTATCGGAATCCTAGAATATGCTCATCTGCCACAATCTAATGCAACAGCTCTGGAATAAACTCAACTTTAGAAAAGCTTTCCCATGTTCACTTTGTGAGGACATGGTGAGAGGGGTGATAACTAAAAGGTGTTAAAGGGATATTCCGGCGTAAAATTAATTTAGGGTCAAACACAACGTAATAACGAGTTAGACACCCCCTTGAGAGATGAATATTGCCGACCGCTTGCCTCTCTACTTAGACCAACTTTAGTAACGACCGCAGGATAGCGATACACAGTGGTCTGAGGAGCCATAAACAAACCTCAACTAAAACGCCACTCTATAACCACAAATAATGCTCAGAACAGCACCTAGCTTCATCAACAGTACAAAGGGTCCCAGCCATAGTACTAGCTACCAAACATCTTTTTAGCTTTGCCTAATTTCTTTAGCAAAGAGACTAAACACAACTCACTGTCTCACAGGCGAGTCCAAACTGACTGCAGCGGAGTTTCGCAGCTCAAGGAAGAACATTTATGATCATTTCTTTATCATTTCCTAGACATAATAATCATCATATCAACCATTTTGCACTGCAGACACCGTGGTTCTTCTGCCTCAGCGTCTCAAATGATCATAAATGTTCTTCCTTGAGCTGCGTAACCCTGCAGCAGTCCGTAATGGACTGGCCTGAGGTCTTGCTACAAACAAGCGGCTGCTGGAAGAGAGTTGGTGAGTTGTGTTTAGTCTCTTTGCTAAAAAAAATAGGTAAAGTTAAAGAGATGTTTGGTGGTTAGTGCTATGGCTGGGACACTATATGTACTGTTGATGAAGTTAGGTGCTGTGGTGGTTGAGGTTTACATGTGGAGACGTAGACCACTGTGTATTGCTATCGTGCGGTCCTTACTGAAGCTGGTATAACTAGAGAAGCAAGGTGTTGTGGTGTGTTTGACCTTAAATCAATTTTTCGCCGGAATATCCCTTTAAGGGGACAAACACGAGTGACACCTGTGCACCACTATCATGATACATTTTGAGAGCAATAATCACCTGTCTGATAATGTAAACAAAGACTGAAACACAATGATAAATTCTGAATACACAAATAACATAAAATGATTGTATTAGAAGTTATTTATGGGTTTAAAAACTTAAAGCGTAAACACGAATAAAGCTATAATGACTAGGATGTGTGTCTGGGCTAACGCTCACGCACATTTATTGAAAGATAATCAATACGACAGTCAATGACTCACTTATACCGTACTGACAACATACTGCATCAGTTTACAGACACGTTTATTCAGCTTTTACACATTTTTATCCAACCTGAAACAAGTTAAAACGCTGCCTGAAAACATCACTTGTATGCTAACGATGACTTCATCCTTTACTGTAAAGCAAGTTTATCAACAGAGACCAATAATAGTGAAAAACACCAACTTTGAGAAGTGCTTTTTGTACGTCCTTTTCCACTCGTGTTTAGTTTAAAGTTAGTCCCTTTAACTATTAACCCTTGTTGTAACTGTTAGCCGGTTAGCATAGTGATGGGAAAATGAATGAAGCATGCGTGCGGAATTAGCTAAGCTAGCTAGTTTGCTTAATTATTTAACGCACTAAAAGCGAACAAAACATCGGTGGTTTTAGCGGCTTGGCGGCTAGCTCTCATTTTGACTCATTTTAGCTGCTAAAGATGAGACCGTTGTGTTTTAAAAGCGACATTAAAATCAAACTTTGCCGTAGCTGGCTAGGTTAGCTGAGCCGAGCAAGTGATCCTGTACGGGGACTGCGTGCTCATCATCACGCGGCCTGTTAGCATGCTAGCTCCTGGGCGCGATTTCTTTCCCCCCCTTTACTTCTAATCACAACAAAAACTGACACACAGAAGTGCAAATATAAGAGCAAAACTTACCTGGTTCGTGTGCTGGTAAGTGATCGGGGGGAGGGTTGGGGTTGTAAGGGTAGAAGGGGAGAGGTTCGGGAGGGTAGGCACCCGGGGGAGAGTTTAGAAAGGACTCGGGGAAGAGGGAAGAGTGATGTGAGATCGAGCTCCACTCCTTTACACAAAGACAACACACTCATCACCTCTGAACTTTCCCCTCTCACCCCGGCCCCAAACCCGCAGCCTGACTCTGACCCGGTGCTGCAGAGAAACTGCGTAGTTACAGTGAAGTTATAGTTGCAGATTTGAGGCGCACAATGCGGCAGGATGTCAGTTTTAAATGGAGATTATTATTGTTAAAAGTGGAGTTTTTGCACGTTTTTAACATTGTCGCATGACTTTAATCTATTACAGTAGGAAATTTCTCCTTTTAGCAACCCGTGTCTATAATCTTCCACATATGTAAATACTTTTATATGACCTGTACTTCTTTTACCAGTTATTCAGATTCATTCTTATTTAGAAACTCAGAAAAAAAATCCTTATTTTTGAGACCACTAGTGGGCGTGAAGTGCACTACAACTCCATCTTATAACTTAACCCACTCATCCTCACACACAGAACTTTCTTTCTCTCTTACTTTCTTTTTTTCTTACTCTCCTTGTCTTTCTTTTCTTTATTTCTTTCTGTCTTCTTTTCATTTTTCTTTTTTATTACTTTCTTTGTTTCTTTTTTCTTCCTGCCTTTCTTTCTTCTTTCCTGGCTTTCTTTCTTTCTGTCTTTATTTCTTTTCTTTCTTTTCTTTCTTTCTTTTTTATTACTTTCTTTGATTCTGTGTTCTTACTATCTTTCTTTTCTTTCTGACTTTATTTCTTTCTGTTTGTCTTTCTTTCTCTCTCTCCCGCTTTCTTTCTTTCCTTTGTCTTTCTATCTTTCTTTCTTTCTCTCCCTCTTTCTTACTTTATTTCTTCTTTTTTTCCTCTCTTTCTGTCCTTCTTTCTTTCTTTCTTTCTTTCTTCCAGCCAAGGCAATTTCTCAACTTGATAATATCATGTCACATTGCAACATTTCTTATCCATTTGTTGGAAGGGAGCAGGGTGAAGAAACATCTTATATTACCTAACCCTCATTCAAAGTCTAATTGTTCTAATAATCTATCACTGAGCAACATTAAAACTGAACAACTCAAAACTGAAGCTTTTCTATATTTACATTTATTTATTGAGTGGCATAAATTTAATTTTCTTACATACAATTTGTGCAGATAAACAAAAAGCAATTCAAGACATACTTTTTAGTGTGTGTGCATACATGACCATGAAATTTAAAAAGATAGGTCTAAAAACACTATGTACATGTTACACTTTTATTATCCTCTACCTTATACCCAAATTAAAAAAACTAAACGAAATACGCTTTATGTATTTGGTCTCATTAAATCACTATGCTAGCTCTTAACAGTTATAGACACAAACAGACAGAAATACATACTTTTAATTCATCATCCCAGTTTTTAGACTTGTTCAGTGATAGCTCTTGAAACTGTAACCCTCTGTTCCCCAAGTGACAGACAGCTACTGACAGTCTGTAACTGTGTTTTGACCACAGTATAGAACAACTTTTTATTTCACATAATTATAGACCAAGAATGGAAAAAGACAACCGATAAACACATGTAACATTCTCAATAAAGCCACATACTGTGGAAATGTTCAATTATAGTTTAAATAGCCCTTAAAATGGATGATAAAACAGTTAAATTCACTAGATTTCCTGTTAAGAGCTATGAGTTTGACATTTTTCGTGTTTAGCATTGATAGTGACAAAGCCTCTCTGCAAAGCAGCATTTCTCTTAATATCTTGTCATGAACCGATGGCCTCAGTCTGAGTCACTGCTACTGCTGCTGCTACTGCTGGAGGACTGTGGAGGGAAGAAAAAAAGATGGTTTATACAAAAATTATAGTATTTATTACCTTTAAAAGGATGGTATTGACCTCCTGTTATTCTGAAAGTAGACAGGGTCAGATGAGACATTCAAGTGACACATTGAGGAAATGGTATCATCTAGCTGTTGTAAGGCACAATGACTAAAATTATTACCTGGAATATGAGGCATCCAAGGTTTTTAATAGTTGTATTTTTCCTGTGTTTGTATATTAAACCTGCTAAATTTCAGCAATTCACAGCTTCATAATGCAAGATGAGACATAAATATTTTTGGGTTAACCTTTGAAGACCAACATTTTTGTGCAGGAAGCACGTGGTGGGCAGTTGTTTGGTATCCAAAAGACCATACAGTTAAGTTTAGTATAATCACTTTTAGCATTAATATGTTTACAACTGGCAGCCAAAATTTTGCAGACATTCAGTACTTTGTATATCTCTAAACTTAATCTCACCTTGCCATGTTTGTGGTGCCCATGTTTGTGCCCCTTATGCGCCTTCTTCATTTTCTTCTTCATCTTTTTGTCGAGTTTATGTCCGGCCATTCCCATCATTCCCATCCCCATCCCCATTCCTGCCAATCCTCCTGCCATGGGATTTAGCCCACTTCCATGATGGCCCTTATGGCCCTTATGGCCTTTATGACCACTTTTGGGAGAGCGTGGGTATGGACCTGGATGGACACCTGCAGGAGGGACCATTGGATATCCACCTGGAGCCATGGGGTAAGGTTGAAGCCCTGGAGCTCCATAGGGCATTGCCCCGTGGGTTGCATTTGGTGGTACCATGCCTGGATTCACACCAGCTGGAAACTGACCAGCGGGGTATGCTGGATGTACAGGTTGGGGGAAGACTCCTGGAGCAGGAGCAGATGGAAATGCAGGGTTGTAACCTGGAGGGTAGGCTGGATTTGGTGGGCCCATAGCAGGAGGGGGACCTGATGTACATAAAACACTCGGTTCAGTTTAATTAAAAACAGATATGTAAAAAGACAGGCTGAAAACAAACACTTGGCTTATGAAATCTTACCTTGATTTGGCCACATGATAATCTTAATGGGGCACACAAGTCAAAAATGTCACTTCTCGCACTATATCCTGAAAAATGAGCAAAAAATTCTTATCAATACTTAATAGAAGTATAACAAATCAATCAAAGGACGATTGTGTTTACAGGGGAACAAGACTATATCTAATCATATAGTTTGATGTGATTTTTGACTTGGTCCTGCAATGTTATATCTAAAGTTGTATTTTTGCCATAGTAGTTGTTGTACAACCCAAAATTCAGGCCTCCCTTAGTTCACTCTCACTTTATGTAAAACAAAATGTGAGAAACCTCACAGTGACTTTTCAACGCAACCTCACTTTTCAGAAACATACAAACACAGTTCTCCAATCTTAGCTTTTCCCATCTGAGAAATATCACCAAAATAAGATCTGTGCTGACTAATGACACCCAAGCAAGTATTCATGCTTTTATTTCCTCACCATTAGATTACTGTTACGGTCCCTTAACAGGAAAAAAAAAAAGTGTTATTAAACATCAGGATATTACTCCTGTTTTAATGAGTTTACTCTGTCTGACAATTTCTTTGCAATTTTGTATTTTAAGGTTGTATTCATTATTTTTAAAGCACGTCGTAGTCTGGTCCCAGAATATGTGTCAGAACTGCTGTCCCCCTTCGTCTCAGATCCTCAGGTAGAAACCTCTTTAATGTTCCCAACTCAGTTTTAAAAACATAAGGAGTTTTTGCTGTTTGGGCTCCTCAGTTGTGGAACAGCCTGCCAACAAGCTACATCACTGTCTTCTATTAAATCACCTCTGTAAACATGTTTTTATTAAAAGACCTTATAAATTTGTATCCATAGTGCATCATTTATTTAGTGTATTTATTGTTTAAATGATTGTTCCTCCTGTCCAGCCTTTGTTTTTAATCGCTTTTAGTATTTCCTCTTTTAATAACTTATTTTGCCCTGTTTGAAATTGTGTCTTGATATTTTGTGTCCTTGTGTTATCCCCATAATGTGAGCTTTTATGTTTGTGAAGCACTTTGCAACGTCTGTTTTGATAACTGCTTTATAAATAAACATGATCATAATTATTACTGAATATATTTGCCAGGTTGTATCACTGCCCAGACTGTAATTTAAATGTTTTAAAGCCTGAAAATATCACTTGTTTCTTCAAGAGACTAAAAAAGGTTCGCAATCAAAAGTCAATACACTTCAACTGGTTAAAATTTGAAGAAACAGCAAAAAATAAATAAATAAAATAAAATAAAAATAGAAATATAGAAATACATAAATAATAATAAAATAATTTAGAAAAATAAATAAATAATAATAATAAAGATAAAATAATAATATGGTAAAAAATAAATAATTACAACATATAATAACAACAACAACAATAATAATAATGACAATTACTATTATTATTAATATTGTTGTCATTATTTTTCCAACAATACTTCAACACTCTTACATTACTTTCATTGATATTTTTGCGTTTTCACAGCTTTTGTATGTCAATTAAATTTAGCTTTATTAGAAATAGAAAGCTTTCTGATAGGACTATAAACTATTGACTACACGTCTCGTTTCTGCTCTTTTAGGCTCACTTTAAATAGATAAGCAACAGTAATGCCCTCACCTTTCATTTAATGTTGAACTGCTTTTGTTTTAACACCTTTTACGAGTAACAGAAAACTTTAATAACATTGGACAGATTACATAAATAACAGGTTTAAGCCTGCTGAGCTTTGGTCAAATACCTCAACCAACAGGGATTTCACAACTTTCTCCATTAACGACTACATAACAGGTATGAAACGGCAAAAAACGGGACAAAAACAGGAGTAAACCGACACGTTTACTGCCGATATACACAAGAAGACACTTACGATCTCAGTTTGTCAACACTGAGGGTTCAAACCCTTACCTTAAAAACTTGCCTCAGGTCCTCTGGTTGGACTTTTTCAGGAATTTCTCGCTGCCTGTTTTTCTTCCGCGTTGACCAGCACGGAAGCTGCAGATATGCACGAGGAAGCCACGCCCGCCATTAAAGGTTACGCTCGGGATTTACGTAATGGCAAAGGTCCAGCATTGAATGAGAAGTTGTTCAACTGGTTTCTGCGGTCCTCAATACAATCATAATGGAAATGTTGATGCCAACTCTATGATAGTTTTACACGACAGGGAGGAGTCAGGAGGGGTGTCATTCAACACACACCTGACCTGAAACAGCAATGATTCACACACCTTAGTGTAACATAAAACCCATGACACCAGAGATCACGAGTTGTGCTTAATGATAAACAGACATTACAAGGCTGTAATTCTTTCTTTATAAAAAAAAAAAGATAATGATAGAAACTTTTTCAATATCCAAAAAAATGTAATATTAAACACAGTCTCAGGTGCTCTGATGCCCAAACTTTAGAAATTTATTACACAGAATATAAATTTTTCTCCCCCTTGGTTGCAATTTTGACATGTAGTTATTGTAAGACTGGTTTTTGCTCAAGTCCCCTTTTTTCTGTACAGCTCCATATTTAAAAGTTATTAGGGGGTTCATGTTTTCTATGATTGACACTTTATACAGCCTATGGGTATACGAAGATTGTGTAGCTCACCCAGCGACTCTCAGCAACTCTCCTGTCAAATGCGTACAATGCTACTGCGCAATGTTGGTTTCAGGAAATGGAGGAAAAAAACAGAATTACTGAGAACTTTTCGGTTTCAAATCTGTATAATGGTGGAAGGAGGAACCAAGTTGTCCATAGTTTTCACAGTCTATGGCTTTGACATACAGTCATAGTGTACATGGAAAAAGACAGATGAAAACAAAAAGCTCAGTTAAAACAGAGTTAAAGGCCATTTTCATGTCAAAGGAACCCGGACAATACAAGAACCATGCAACATAAAACGAGACCATAAAATGAGACCATGAGGACCAAAATAAAACATAAAATAGTTTAGAAAAAAGAAAATGTAATTAAAAGGGGGGTCGAAAGCGGAAACAGGATAGTAAATATAAAAGGCAATATCAACAATGAAAATAAAATATTAATGATGAAATAAAACAACAGAAATGAGCAAGAGATAAAACAATAAAAGTCCTAAAAGGTTAATTAAGAAAAGAGTACAAGTATAACAAAAGCTAAAAAGACAGTAAAGCCGAAATAAGATCGAGGTAAAAGAGATAAGAGATGACAGACAGACTGAAGACTGTTGTCCTCAGGTGTCCTTGTGACAGTCAGAGACAGCATTTACAACACCCTGAATATAATGAAAACATGAAACAGTTTTATTTCCTATTTTTTTTATTGCGTTTTTATGTGACATGTTAAACAGCTTTCAGAGAAATCATGCATGAATGATTCAGAACAACTGATTTTAGTTTTCACTGCTATCGTTCCGCATCTGCAAGTCAAAATGTTTGCTTTGATAGAGTATTGCTAGAAGTTTGCCTGGAAATTGTACGTTTCTTGGGTTACCATTTAAACAAAAACTAAAATGAGATATAAACAGTTAGATTAAATGACTATATACAGGCCTTCTATTAGCTGGCTTTGGTTAAAACTGCTGAATATATCATGAAAGCACAATATTAGTGGCTAAAAAAACATGAGAGCAAATGTTCAAACGCTAATGACAACAAGTCAAAAAATAAAAAGACAAAAAGAGTCATTGAGAGAAGCAAGATCGAAGGGAGACTAATCTGTCTAATCTGTCTGCAACACACTGAGCAGTCAGTCGAGCATCCGGGTCGCAGTCCCAACAATCACCAAGGAGCTCCTCCAGCACAGACCCCTGAGAGATGTAATGTTTTAGTCGGTTCATTGCAACCTGACAAACACAAAAGCTGCATGTGTAAATAAAAGCGACTGTAAATACCTGGGGTAGCAGTTCCAAACGTTTAGGTACACATGGTCTTCTGTCCATGTGACACACGTGCAAAATGAGGCTTTCTAGAGTAACTTCGCTCCCCAGCTCTGATTCATATGGCAAGAGGCGCTGTGGAACAACACCGCCTGCAGATGGAGACATTTGAATAAACTCGAACATCTTTTAACCATCAACACAATATCAAAACAGAGCTGCGGAACAGCTGGCTATGTCAAACAACCGCACAGAAACAAAAAGAAAAAGTAAATCTGTGAAAATAAGTATCTGAGGCAAATCGTGTCCTTTGTATTTCATTTGTCTGTCATCTCTGGATACTTTCAAGATGATAAAATGTGTGGTTCTCACAAGCTTGCATCTGTTTTCCTGACTGTCGGAATCTGATTAAGAGAGCGTACCTTCAAACAAATCAGAACAGCGCATACAAATCTCCCACAGCAGCAGGCCCAGAGCATAGATGTCCCCTTGCAGAAGACACCATGTGTTGCTGAGGTTTACAGAGCCCTCCAGGATCTCAGGAGACATGTACCGCAGCGTCCCGAACTGAGCATGACTCTACACATGAATAGAGATTTAAAACCGCTGTTTCATTACAAAAGATTCTGCCACTTATTAACATTTTAGATGAGGTATTGGGGAAATATTCAACCACTGAGAAAAGATGCAGATACAGTTCTCATCTGAATATGATCTTGATCTTTTTTTGTTGTTGTTGTTCTTACCTCCATTTTCGTTGCCTGGCTCTGTAAATGGGGTTGTTGTGAACAAGAGCGCAATATGGTAGAGCATCCGAAATCACACAGCGCACAGATCCCATCTGCTCTTACGAGCACATTGAAGCTGCTCAAGTCTCTGTGGGCAACTGGAGGTTTGTGCATATCTGCAAAAAAAGACGCATCTGTACTTGTAGAAAAACTGACGAAAGAGCGTGAAAGATGCTGTTTGTACGGAGGCTTATGGTTCATATTGTTTGTAAATAACCCTTGCTGTGTATGTCTCTGTTAGAAAAGCTCATTAAGGGAAGTTACGAATTGACAGTCAGCTTATCTATTTGAGTTACACAGTGCATATTCACCAGTGATAACAAGGCGTTCTTCATAGGATAAAGACACACACACACACATTTGCTTACAGTAATAATCTCGCCCATACCATGTCTGTGAAGGTCAGAGTGGAGATAGGAAAGTCCCTGTGATAAGGACTGGCACAAATTCAGTGACAACATCCAGTTGTTGGTGTGTTTACACAGAAAAGAGTGGAGGGAACCCTGAAAGCACAGCAACAGCAGTCAATTACATCAAACAGCATGAAAGAGTTTAAAAGACAGAATATGGTACTTAACCTGATAATAATAAGTCATGATTATTGTTATTATTATAATTTTTTGGTATGTTTTTGCTTCTGATCTTTTTTTAATTGTGGTTTGAAAGCCTCTTCTGACCAAATATCAGCATCAATATCACAATACCAATCATAAAACTTAGAATTAAATCTTGAACTTTCCCTTTTCCTGACCTTTGTTTTTATTTTATCTGAACTCTCTACAAACACATGGCTGATTTTCCTAGTCTGGTCTTGCCTGGTTGTCACTCACATATTCAGCAAACTGCAGGACCATCAGCCAGCTGCCTCCATCCGTTTCCCTCCCACCAGCCAGGAAGTGCACAATCCCAGCATGCCTCATCAGCGGTAGCTCATACACCTCCTTCTCTGCGGTCCATTTTTCTTTCCAACCTGCAGGGAAAACCTTCACAGCCACCACAGATCCTTGGTATTTCCCTTTCCACACAGTTGCAAAGTGCCCACAGCTCATAACCTGAAAAACATATAAATATACAGGTAAAATAACTGTACATAGATAATGTGTGGATGACAGAGCTGTGAGATTTAGAGTAGTTTAGAGCCAAAAGACAGTGAGGCTTACCTGCTGTAGTTCCATGTCAGCAATGTCAACCTCAGGGGTTTTTGTAGTTTGGCAGGAACACACACTTGTGACATTATAATCAACACAGGAGTGTGGATTCTCCTCTAAAATAAAAAAAATAAAAATTAATTCAAAAACATATACTGTAAATATGATCCATTTTAAATGTTCAGCTAACCTCAGTAAAAAGCACCAGTAAAGACACAGTGTAACAAAGGACGGGGTAAAAGGGAGTGTTACAGTAGAGATAAACACCAAGGTCAGACCAGCAGAGAGAATGAAAGAGTTCATGAAAAACAACATCATGCCATCTGAATCTCAGTTTAGATCTGGTGAAAAACACGTCGCAAGAATGTGATTCCCTGTTTCTCTGAACAGCAGACACAGACACTTAAATGGTAAAGGTTTACAAACTGGCTAATCTTATTATAAATTAACTAAATGTGAACATACAAGAAGTTTGTATGATGAGCAGCAATGGGGAGAATTTATCTGCTAAATATGAGAGATAAAGATAAAGTTGTGTTTGGTAAAGACCTGCAGACATTCACAGTTTGCTCTTTGTAATGGCAGATAAAAAATTGCGATAAAAAAAATTACATTCTTCTCATTATTTAATCAATCACTGACAAGAATAGGTGATGAGACAAATTGCTGTATATGAATACCGCAACCGGGACACTCAAATAATTTTTATTTCCACCACTGCCACATCTAAAATGGCAGAAAGTTAAAGATTTAATCCACATGCAGGTGTAAATAAGAAATTTGTTTTAGCAATACCGTATCAATGCTGAAGAAAACAGTGACTTACTTTTGTCCTTTAGAAGTCCTCTCTGTTTGGCAGCAACAATTATGAAGCACAGGACCAGAACAATTCCTACCAGAATTATCGCAGCAGTTTGCAGTATTACATCTAAAAGAAACCAAACATGAGTTTTTACACTTCTTTTTAGGTCAATACAGTGAGTTCATGACTTTGAATTTCATTATCAAGCCAATAGAGCAGCAGTGTCCAGCCCTCTGACAGGATTGTTGCAGATCTTCTATGATTTATTTGATCTCTTTTTTTTTTCCATACCAGCAGAATAAGAGTAGGTGGGTTGAGGCTCCTCTAACTCCGAGGTCCAGGTGATGTTGCTGTTGCAGAGGTCTGTGTTACATACACACTTAATGACGCGACCATTTGAGCTGGATTGAGCCTTGCAGGTTTCATCTGGGCACAACTTTTCGGCAACATCACAGGCTGCAAATAAAAAGAAAACCACAGATATATCAAATTATGGAAAAAAAAATCTTAGCAACCACATACAGCCTGCAGAATAACTTTATTGTATATTTCTGTTTGGTTGGATTTGAGGCTTAAGTTTGATCAAATCTAAATCACTTGTGAACTTAGGTAAAAATACTGTTCATACAGACTTGTCATGAAGCAATCATCTGGATTTCTGAATTCACACTTTCTTACCTAGAACGTCGACTCTTAGCTGGCCATCGCTGATCACAAAATAGCCAACACAGCACTGGGTGTTCTCGCAAAGCTGCACCGAGCCGCTGACATTGCCAGCAGCTATGTATTTGTTGTTCTGGGGGGACACTTGGAAAGCACATTGTCTCTTTTGAAGAAAAGACTGGCTGGAGATGCAGACAGAGATGAACTCTGGCATGGAAAAGAAATGCAAACAGGTCTTTCTCACAAAGAGTTCCTGAAGATTTGGTTTGACTGCTAAAAATAACATTTTCCCTCTAGCTGAAAGAGAGCAGGCTTCTCTGTGTGTTACTTGGACTTTCATTCTCTTTAAGGCTTTTATTTACTGTTGAATCTAAAATTTCTGGCAATAATATTGTCAAAAAAATTAGATATTAAAACAACAATCTACAACTTCATCTATAAGTCTTACACATAGGCTTTACATAAAGTTTATGGTCTTATAGAATGTGAGACAATTATGAAAAGACTTTACATGGAGGAAAAACAAACAAATAAAATGTTTTTTATTAACAAATTCACTCACCCAGGGCCAAAATCAGCAGCCATCGTTGCAGGATCATTGTTCCTCTGAGCTCAGACCGGCTGTGCGGCAACTGAGGGTTTATCAGTCTTGAGAATGTGAGAGGAGTTTCCCACGTTTCCCGGCATCACTCCCACTGCCACACACCTGCATGTCCTACACATACTGTCTGTCGTCATACAGTGGGCAGCGGGTAAATAGAATAAAAAAAGGAAAGAAAAAACACATAATTATGACCATCCAGATAGAAGTGTGGGGTTGACTGCAGCTGGCTGCTTTTGGACCTCAGGTAAACTCAAGGACAAACAGGCCTCAGAAGATCACTGTGGCAAATAAGGGAGGAAGTGTAACTCAGTCACATGAGCCAGTGATTATGAAAATAAAAATAATGCTATATTAACAACAGAATCACCTTAAAAAAAAGGTAAAAGTACTTATTAAATTAGAAATGTATTCCTCTGTGAAAAAAATCACCTGCCATAACTGCCAAACATACACCCACAGATGTGCATTTGTGTACCAAGATTTGTTGTTCCTCTATTTCAGATTTTAAGGGATAAAATATATGTATCCAAAGCAAGTATTTGATGTGTGCCAATGATATTATACTACATAAGTAAAACTTTGCTCAGGCAGTTAAGAGTTCTCCGGAATTACTTTTAAAATATCGATGTTTGGATATTTTTTAAAATTTAACTAAACCAAAGAGAAGCTAATGTTAAACCACTTTTAATAAATAAACTCAATTATTACATTACTTAAGTCTTTTCTGTGCGATTTTGGACGGTTAAAATTTGTGTCGTCCAAGGCTGCTCGTTAAGATGTTAAGCTCACCCCGTACAGGCGGAGACCTTAAATAACCACTTTGTTCAGGGCAAGGCCGCGCCTTCGTGCTATCCCAGGACACAAATCGCGCACAACCAACGGTCAACTTCATTAATTAGACGGGTACGAGCGCGTGAGCAGTCAAAACTAGCCTAACTTTAGACGGCGCTGCGGCTAGCTGGCAGAAATAACACGGTGGCGTAACTTGACATAACTTTTAAATACATTTCCCGCATCTTTTTTAAAATAATTTTAAGCATTTTTGGCGCACAGCGGCCGTCTAAAGACAGGAGTTTGAGGAATGCCCTCCGTTAAAAAGAAGCTAGCTGTCGCTGATGTGTTTGCGGGAGACTCTGAAGATGACCAAACGTTTTACGGCTTCTCTGATGGTGAACTCGACGACAATGTGAGTAACTTCTCTCAAAATAAACCTTTCTCTAAACAAAATTAGGGAATATAATTAACCTACAATTTGTTTTTACCTGATTTATCGGCATTTACTTATTTGGTGTCAAAATGAGGAATCCCAGCCCTCAAATGATTCGACATACGACATTATGGCTGGTCGGTGCAGGGGGTCGGTTGGTTCTTTCTGACTTTAAAGCTACTTGGAGACCAATCTAGTTTCTTAACCATACCTCAGAGCATTGACCTAATATATAGGGGAGAGTGGGGTAAGTTGAGCCACCCCCTGTTGCGGCTCTTGTTGAGAACCGGTTCCAAATGGTTAAATCCATCGACATCATTTACATTTTACCTTAATGATTCCCGTAACGATTCCTTTCTGCCTTGATTATTTTTAGACTCTCACTGAAGATTGCATACATCTTTATCTGTTATCAGAGACTCAATAAAATTTTGAGGTAATGGTGAAAACCTGTAGCCTACTTTTTTTTATTTAATCAAAGAGAGGCATTGATAAGGGAATCGTTAAAGAATTGAATCGATAAGCAGAATCGATAATGGCATCAAAATTGATCAAATCTTATCAATTCCCATCCTTATGTAGTGATCCGAAATATGAAAAATGGCTCATCTTACCCCACTCTCCCCTATATACATTTTTAAGCATTGTGGTTGCATCAATGCACCAAATGTCGACTGAGAAATCATCTTTACTTCTTTTTCTTTAGTCAAATTTAGAGGATGAATCTGAATCTCAACCCGAGGTTTCCCCCAAGAGAAGGAAAACTACGTCCAAACCATCTTCACGAGCACAACCCTTCAAGCTGAAGGTGGCTCTCCGCTCCACTCGCTCTACCCGGCAGTCCACGGATGAAGAGGAGGAGGAGTCGGAAGAGGAAGTAAGAAGTCTCAAACGAGGAATGAAGAGGGCAGGACATGCTGTGCATGCCAAGAGGAGAAGACAGGTTAAATTCAAACTTGAAGATGATGATGAGACAGAATTGCCTCAGTCATCTCCGAGTAAAGATCCTGGATCCGATCCAGAAGAGGATGAAGCAGAATCTTTCTTGGCCAAAAGAAAACAGAACATTGAGGCCAACAAAGCTATGGTAAACCACAAACACATCACCACATACAGAAGGTACATTAGAATACTTTTTGATAAAGCGACTGAGTATCAAAGTATTTCAACTTCAACTCTTTCAGTGTGCCTGTTGAATGCACAAAGTATAATTTTCTTAGGCTGCTCACAAGCTTTCATAAATATGAATTTTGCCTGAGTTGTTGGTTGCAGGAATCTTGAGTTAAGTCCTGAATGTCGTGACTTCAGGTTTGACTTTCAGGTTGGAAAGAAAAACTTAATTTGTGATAACACTTATGACTCACATCTTTACTTACACTGTATTCTCTTGATGTAGAATTACTTGGTAAAGTAGCTCAATTGTTTATGCAAAACCATTGTCTGAAAACTATAAAGCCAACCTTTGCCACACATTTGCTTTAGTCTGAATTATACTGATTGAAACCTGTTGGTGAAATGTTTGACAAAGTATTATATCACTGCAGAGATACTTTCAGTATCACATGTCACCAACTATACCTTTCCAGAACGAGTCTCGGTGTTTTCCAGCGTTCATGTATCATTGTTTTGACCCTCCTTCTTTTCTCACAGTTGGCTCAGCTGATGGCAGACCTGCAGAAGATGCCAGGAGGGGCCGGCCTTCTGAAAACACAATCTAACAAAAAGAAGACAAAAGAGAAAAGTTCTGTGAGTGGGTGAAGTGGACTGTAAAAAACACTCTTTCTTGAACACTAGTTATTGTTGTCTCTAGTGATATTAGACATTGGGGACAGAAATGTTGCCATTTTGACATTTGAAGCAGGGGCGCAAGATACTGGACTTTAATATTGATGTGTTATCCTTTACATACCTAATTTTCTTCATTACTATCAAGTCTCACCTGTACTAGAACTTACCTGTTACACAAACTGTGATGGTCTAAACAGACTTAAAGCAAGATTTACACTTAATTCCACCTCACATAAACATATTTTTTACAACCCAGACATCCAATAATGTTGTCGGTTTCTGACACCTCAACACTTCCTGTGGTGCCACTGGCCTAGCAGTCTACCTGGGTGCCCCATATATAGTTGGCATACCTCAAGTGGGCATCCCAGGTTTTATTCTAGCCAGTGGCCTCTTTCCTATACGTCCCTCTCTGCTTTTTTCCCTCATCCTCTCTATGGAAAAAGGCAATTAAACCTGACGATATAAATCAGGATTGGGTTGAGCTCTGAAAAACTGTATGTCCTGATTGATTGATGTGCTGAGATGATTTTTTTTTTTTTATCAAACACCTGCAGCGGCCACCACGCTCAGGGGGAGAGTCAAGGAGGAACCCCGAACGAGCATCTCGCAGACTTACTCGCTCCATGGGGGGAGTTGAAGACCTTGTAGTGCCTAAGGAGGAGGAAGAGCTGGAGCTCAGCCTCGAGGATGAGCTGCTGAAGGTTAGCTTCATCACTTATGTGTGTGTATATGTATATGTTTTAATATGATGAGGAGCCTTTACAGCCCATCAGTGATGATTGGGACATTTTGCACTGAAGCCAAAACACTTCTCTAAAATCAAATTTATTTTATTTATGAAGTGTTTTTATCACACTAAATGATAGCTAAATGAGCTACCCCTCCAAATTAGAGAAGCCCCCACACTGTCCATTTTTAAAAGTCGTCTTAAAACCCATTTTTATTCATTGGCTTTTAACCCTCCATGAGACTCGGCTCCTGTTTTAGTGTTTTATGGTTTGTTTTTTAGTTATTTGTTTCTACATTTTTAAATTAGTTTTTAAAAGCATTGAAACAATACTTTTAATTCTGCTTTTATTTTATCCATTGTTTTAATTGTTTTTTGATTGTTTTTTATCTTGTTGTTTTGGCTAGTTATGTACAGCACTTTGTACAGCTGTGGTTGTTTTAAAGTGCTTAACAAATAAAGTTGAGTTGAGTTGAGTTGAGATAAATTTGTGTTTTGTCAAGAATGGAGAAACTTTTTGCTTCATGGAAAACAGAAATTACATGTCATAAGTAGTACTGATAACTTGTAAAACACAAAATATTTCAAAGCAGTCTGTCATGCAGTAGTAGGATTTTGGTTTTGGGTCAAGAAGATGAAGAACTTCAGGAAGAAGAAGAAGAAAAACTTTGTTGATCCCCAAAGGGAAATTCAATTCATAGTACTATCTTGCTGTTGCCCAAAACCACAGTATACAGATATTTTTAAATATTTAATAGAATAAGAATTAAGCATTGAAATCAGATTCTTTGTATGTCTATCAAGGTGTTAAAACATTTTTTGTGTGCTTTAGGTACACAGATCCCCACAGCGCAGAAGTGCCCCACGCCCTTATCGGGGGAAGAGTCATGTAATTCGTCCTGTTGAGGACATCACAGAGGATGAACTTCAGCTGGTTTCTGAAAACATGACCGATAAGGTCTACAACAGAGTTACAGTAAGTTAACAGTGTGATCAAACCTGCTGGTCTTTAGAAGTTGGATATTTTAGAATGATACAAAATAGTTAAAGGCTTGTGTAGATATCAGGTTTGTAGCCAGAAAACCACAAGACTGTGGCATCTTTGGTTCAGAGTTAAGATGAAATCATCAGTCAGTCAGGAGGCAGTCTCTCCTATCTTGGTGCTGTCCTTTGAAACATTATAAACGGTCATATAAAATGTAAATGAACCTGTCCACTTTCTCAGCATAAATGGTTTCTGTGTGTGATATTTTCCAGGGATCCACATGCCATCAGTGCCGTCAGAAAACCATTGACACTAAGACATGCTGCCGCAGCGAGGACTGTCAGGGGATCCGGGGTCAGTTCTGTGGGCCGTGTCTGAGGAACAGATATGGAGAGGATGTCAGGAAAGCGCTGCTTGATCCAGTAAGACTGTCCAAACACGAACACACAAGATTATTACGTAGAGTTTGAGCGTTTAGTTTCATGAAGTGTTGTCTGCTGTTTTCTGAGCTGATTGTATGATGTGAAGAATGAACAGCACAGAAAACAAAGCTAGTTTACAACTCTGTCTTCAGGTTAGTTTTTTCACCAGTCCGTTTTCTCCTCAGGAGTGGAAGTGTCCTCCCTGTAGAGGTATTTGTAACTGCAGTTTCTGCCGCCTGCGGGAGGGCCGCTGCCCAACTGGCATCCTGTTTCCTCTCGCACAGTACCACGGCTTCTCTGATGTCCACTCCTACCTCAGCAGGTGAAGGAATTCAAAGTTATACAGAGGCTTTCAAGTCACTGTTGAAATACCAATAAGACGTTTTTAACCATTTTAGTTTATATTAACAAGTGATTCAGTGAGGGCTCCTTGGTAAACAACTGGGGGAAAATAGTTATTATACTGCTAATCGATCTAAAATAATGACAATGGTGTGGGAACTCACTAACATCTGCAATATATTCTCTTACAGCCTACGCAACAAAGTTAAGGGTGAGGTTGATGCAGAGATGTGATACCAACACTAGGGGGAGCCATTGTTCTTAATTTTCTGTGAACATTTTGAATTTTTTTTTGTTCCATATACACTTCTCAACGTTCTTATCAAATAAAGTATTTTTTTTCATCAGCTGATGCTTGCTTGTTTTATTCTTTTGTACATGGAGACAAGTTTCAAAAGAGGAGACAAAGTGTATTCATTATTTTAATCCAGCTGTTGGCATTTGCAGTAGTTGAATACACACAATATAAAATCCCTTGTTTAAAACGGGGCAACAAAAAAAAAAAGAAAAATAAGAGCACTTTTTGTCTGATGGAGTAAGTTTATAGACTTTGAACACATTTTCTGACAAATTACAAGACGACTTCCTCTCTCAAATAAAGCTGAACTCTGACACAAAGAAACTTCTCCAAACAGAAATGAGGTGCATCCAAGAAAAACCTTGACCTTTAAAACATTTTTAACTTATATATTTGGACAACAAAGGGCCGTGTGTCCATGTCAAGCTGGTTCTTCTCCAGGTAGAACTTTAACATATGCATATCAAGAGTAAAAACTGTTAGAAAGTTGATGGACCAAAGAAAGATCTCATAGTTCTGCTTATAAAATGAGTATGAACCTTTGGTTTTGAGCTTACATATTTATGCTGTCTGGACATTATTAAAAAATATTTCACTCTGACCAGATTTGACTAAATAAGAAACTTTTCACCAAAAGAGAAGCTGAAGGGACTGCAAGGCAATGTCTCAGATAACAAATATACCAGACAAAATAATAATAATAATGGGAAGATCTGGACTGAATAGAATACATTCTTCTATGACAGGAAAGCTGGTACATTTACACGTTTAATCTCTCTCTATATAAAAGTATTATACGTTTTAAGAATGATTGTGCATGAGAGGTTCATACAACTGAAAGGCAATCTCTTGCAATTGTGTAAGATGACCCTGCCTAAGCTATGAATTTCTGTCGCCTTTACATTACCAAAAATATATATATTTACATAGAAAAAATCAAAATGTTTTTGCAATGACAAACGTATCAAAGCATGATGGCTTGAATGTGTGTACCAACGTAAGAGGTTAAAGAGTTATTCTCAGGATTTCAGTGGCCAGAAACACTTTCATCCTCACACTGATTAGTGCTGGTGGCTATCACGCAGTTTTCACCTCATGTTTTCAGCCCTCCACCCTAAAATGTTTACATGTAATTCGTATAAGAGCAGGATTGTTAGTTTTTCCACTATGCATGGTTCCCCCAAAAACTGCCACCGCGGCACATGCGAGAACTGGATGTTTGTTTTTGCTCAGGATCGGTATCATGTTCTGGGCCATCGTGGGGCAAAAGACACCCAAGGGGAGAAAGGATAAGTTGTATGGCTCACAATTAATGGACTGAGTAGTGTTGACTCTACTGAGTGATACGTGCCACCAATTCAACAGCAGGTGTGTTAGTCTGCTTTTTTTTTTATTGCAATCATACTATCACCTACGAGTGGGTCTTCATGTGGAATAAATGTTAGTGTAGTGCCATTTTCAGTCAGGGGAACTAGATTTCATGTTTCTTTTGATCTCGTCTAACATTTTAATCCTCGTCTGACCCTTACGATGCCACCAAAATCCTAAAAGATCCTTTTTCCTGCCTCAGTTCTCAAATGGGATAGTGTCTGTTTTCATGCGGCCACCTCTCCTCGTCTGAAGCCTTTGAGAGGTTTTTGCCCTTTTTAAACCCAAATGTCTGAATTCAACATCCGCTGAGGCTGTCGAGCTGCTCCTCTGTGTCCTCAGTAGCTGTTGCCGTTAATTTGGTGCAAGTCCACCTGCATCATGTTGATCCCGCTGCTGGCTAGCCGGGCTATGCTCTCGGCAGATAAGGTTTCCATGGTGACAATGGTGTGTTGCTCGTTTGCTGACACTGCTCCCGGTTCCACTTTTGTAACTGCGGCGGGGGAGCCTGCGTCGGCGGAGCCTGTGGTGCCGCTGGTTGCATTGGGCACTTTCTTGTTTAGGTGGGTTTTAATGTGCTTGGAGAGGTGGTCGCTGCGCATGAAGCGTTTGGGACACTCCGGACACACGAATCTTTTCTCACCTGAAAAAGAGGGAGAAATAAAATGAAGAGTTGCGGTGACAGACTTCTGATAACAAAATGAAGAGAAAAGAGAGACAGCTTTTTGCACCAAGATGCATTTTTAACCCTGATTTAAGATGTTAGAATTGAAAACATGGATCTATGAAATATTTGGATTTACTTAATCAGACTCAGGACGATTTTCAGTTCAATATCACAGTTGGAATAACTCCTGTCTGGAAAACTGGAATCTTAGCAAAAATATACAGCCCATGAAAGAGATCCCGGCATATCCCCATAGCATAGTACCAAGTTGACTTAGCTTTGATACGATGTACACAGTGTCAAATTAAGCGAGATAGATCCCCGGTATTACCTGTGTGTGTCCTCTTGTGGCGCTGAAGCTCATCTGAACGGGTGAATCGTTTTCCACAGAAAGACCAGCCGCAGACGAAAGGTCGTTCTCCCGTGTGCCAGCGGAGGTGAGCTCTCAGGTGAGATGTTTTGCCGTAGATCTTCCCACAGCCGGAGATGTGGCAAATGTGCTGCTTCTTTTTAGTCGGGTCACTGCTCGAGGGGAAAAGCGTTTGTTTAGAATTAAGGGTTCGGGGTTTTCTCTAAGGAGACCGTCTACAATCAGCTTCAATCTATTAACTTCATTTTAAAAAGCTGTAGATCTGACAAACCTTACTTTCAAGTTTTTACATTCAACCAAATACTCTCTTTGAATTTTACACAAGTCAGAGCACAAAATAGAATAAAAACAGTTCACTTTAGACTCAGTTTCTCCATGAAAATGTTAATAACAAAAGTCAGAACAGTTATTTTGTGGTACATCTGAATTTGTACCATTATAAATGCTACAGTGACGTACCGTCCTTCTCCATCCTTGCAGAAGGGGCAGGTGCAGGCCTCCCTTCGGTTACGTCTTCCTTGTGGTGTGGGGCTTATTTCGTCATCATCCATTGCTGTGCTGTCATCCAAACTCTCTCCTCCTCCATGTAGCCCCTGCTCTCCTGTTGTGGTGAAAGAAAAATCAATTAAAACTTAACGGCATTAGATTCATATTCATGTTCATATTCATAGAAATAATTTAAGAAAATTATTTCTTTTCCTCTGTGTTACTATATACCTATCAGGCACCATTATTACTACAAATCCTGTGTGGTAACATGCAACTTAACAATCTTGGGCTTTTCTGAGGCAATCAACTGCAGGTACATTTCGGTGTCAAGAAAACAGGTTCACACTTGTTGCTCAGTTATTTCCTCTTAACAATACTAAACCGAGGTATTCTGAGAAGTTGGCCTGGTGGTATCGTTACCAATGAGACACACACACACTACATTTGAATATTAGTTGTACAATTATGCAACATGACAGCATACAGTCGATTTCTAGGTCACCTCAAACATCCAGCGGTTTAACTACTGTGCTTGAGTGAATCTCAGCACTGACACTTTCACATTCATAACTTTCTACTTGGGTCCAAAAGACAAAGCTTGCTACAGTGAAAAGGCCACAGACGGGTCATGATTTAATGACAACAACCACGAGCACTGGAAATAGACCAAATGCTTTCTTACAAATGCTTGTATCCAAACAAGAGCAGACATGCAAATAACCATCGAAAGAGATGGCCTGTGAATGAGGGTCACGACATGATTATGTCCGAAATGAGATGAGAGGGGTCAAATTACACCCTCAGAGGTTGTAGCTGACCCACAACTGAAATGCAGTTGTCTGATAAGATGCGGTTATACCAAGTAAACAAAAAGTCACCATAAGCACATACAAGACAGGAAAGGGCTCAGAGCAGCACCGGGCCAGCTGAACTGGTTGAACCAGTATACTTGACTTCAAACACAAAGGGTGAGAGAGATCGAGTTCACAGATACAAGAAACACACCAAACTTTGCATTTCACAGCCGGTTTCTGTGAAAAAAAAAAAATAACACAAATCTACTCGTCTGCGTGACTAAAAATGTTTGCACCCTGTGAGTTTTGTACGATCACAGGAAGAGTAGTGACAAAGTAGGAGAAGAGACCAGCTCTGTTGAGAAGTGACCCTGACCCCCAGAGAAATTAGTTCTCATAAATTACTTTTCTACATTCTGAACAGAAAAATATAACTTAAATTTTCAAGATATTCTGCAAACATATGTGTACACTGTAGGAAATGACAGTTATTAGGTAGGTAACTGACCTCCTGCTCCAGCAATGGTGATGGGAACAGTCTGCAGCTGGTGCATTTGCAGCCCAGAGCCTGCCAGTGTATTGAGATTGATGGTCTGGATGCCGGGGATCTGCACTGTGTTGACAGATACTCCACCAGCTGCTGCGCCTCCCTGAGCTTGGCCCAGCTGGGGCAGAGACTGCACTGGGGCCAAAGTGATCTGTGGTCCAGCTGGACTCTGGATCTGAAGTGTTTGCCAGCTCACCTGGCCGTTGGGGCCCAGAGTGCGCAGTAGGATGGGGCCTGTGTTGGGCATGATTTGCAGATTTTGAAGCCCTTCCTGGCTGAGGGTTGGGGTTGCAAAGACCTGACCCCCTGCCACAGTACCAGCCTGGATAGTCTGGAGGTGTGTCCCACCTTGGATAACCTGCTGAGGCTGGATCAAGATCTGCTGTGGCTGCTGTGTGTCTCTGTTGTCCGGTTGTATCGGGACCCCCAGAGAAGTCGCAGCGTTCTGCTGAAATGTTCCCGTCATCGCTCCATTCGTATTGTGCGTTTGGGTCACTCCGAAAGAAGAGGAAGCCTGCGTAGTGACAGTGGGCGCACTGGTCATGTAACACGCCGCGCTGGTGGAAGATGTTGGATTTTGCGATTGTTGTACAAGTTGGTTTCCGCTTGTGTCGCCTCCACCGCTTGAATCTCCTGTTGCATTGCTTGTTCCGGTACTGACAGGCAACAGAGTGATGTTTCCATTTATTGAAACAGGCATGTTTGCCAGGAATTGAGGCTGGTTCTGTAACACACTATTGCCTAGGCTGATATTTTGTATGGGAATGGCTCCCTGAAGGAGACTAGGCATAGTTATGATGTTTCCTGCTGCACCAGCTCGGTTGGTTGCGGCTATGATCTGCTGGCCGTTGGGGGAGGAGACAATCTGAAACTGCTGCCCTGGTGCTGCAGCAGCAGTGGGCACGGAGGAATCCTGCTGAGTGTGTGTCAACTGCAGAGGCTGGCCATCCACTGTTTGAAACTGAGGAATAACCTGGTACTGAATATTGGGCATCATGCCTGACAAGGTGGTGAGGACCTGCTGACCCTGCACTGTTGGAGCCTGAGCTACTACATATTGTTGTGGCTGCTGCTGCTGTCCCTGAGTGCTCACAGGCGACAGCACCTGTCTGACCTTCCCTGTATCTCCTGTCATCACGCCTGACGAGTCGGTGGTGATGGTGTTGGCGCCTGAGGATGCATGGACACTGAGAGGGATAACCTGCCAGCCGTTGGCACTGGGGGTCAAAATCCCCTGGTTGATGTCTAGCTGCTGGTTTTGTTGTTCGTCTGCAGGCGAATCACTCTCTCCTGGGGTGTCAATTCGACTGCATGTGGCTGCCAACAAGGCAAGGGGAGAGGGCTGCTGTGAGTCCTGAAACACACGAGAGGAAAAGAAAGTGTTAAACACAGGGAGGATACGATACAAAAGGTCCTATATTTGCTATAATAGGCCCTTATAATACCTCTGTTATTATGTTTTCATGACATTTTAAGGTGAATTTATTTTTACTTCACAAGTTGATGTTTAGAAAATGCTGGTGCCTACAGAAACCAGTTTCACTTACATAAAACGTGTAATTATTTTACTGACATGGGGCAACTTCAAAAGGCAAAGCTAACCACACAAAATGCTTCTACAAAGTAGTTTGGTAGGTTTTGGACACATAGAAAAGTGACAAAAGGTGTGACAAAGGTGAATCTGCTGCTGCCAGGAAACAGTGTTCCTTTTTAAATAAAACTTGCACATCATGCTTTTCCTTTATACAGCTAGCAGCATTAAAGGGATATTCCAGCATAAAATTAATTTAGGGTCAAACACACCATAACATCGAGTTAGACACCCCCTCAAGAGATGAAAGCAGCACTAGCCACCAAACATCTTTTAGCTTTGCCTGATTTCTTTAGCAAAGAGACTAAACACAACTCACCTACTCTCTTCCAGCAGCCACTTGTTTGTAGCGAGACCTTAGGCCAGTCCATTACGGACTACAGCAGAGTTTCGCAGCTCAAGGAAGAACATTTATGATCATTTCTTTATCATTTCCTTGAAGTAATAATCATTATATTTATCATTTTGCACTGCAGACGCGGTAGTTCTTCTGCCTTAGCATCTCGGTCTGATTGCATTTCCATGAAGAAATGATCATAAATGTTCTTCCTTGAGCTGCGTCACCCCACTGTAGTCTGTAATGGACTAGCCTGAGGTCTCGCTATAAACAAACGACTGCTGGAGGAGAGTGGGTGAGTTTGGTTTAGTCTCTTTGCTAAAGTAGTACTATGGCTGGGACCCTATATGTACTGTTGATGAAGTTAGGGGCTGTTCTGAGCATTATTTCTGGTTATAGAGTGCTGTTTTTGGCTCCTCAGACTGCTGTGTATTGCTATCATGCAGTCATCACTAAAGTTGGTATAATTAGAGAGCAGGCGATCGGCAACATTCATCTCTCGAGGGGGTGTCTAACTCGGTGTTGCGGTATGTTTGACCCTAAATTAATTTTATGCCGGAATATCCCTTTAATAGCATCTACATCTAAGCATGTGTGTTGTATTTATTTCTAATTAACCTAGCTTAAATAAGATAACTTAATGTAAAATAAAAATAAAAAACATGGATTCTTATTAATAAGATGAGGATTTAGGTTAAATCAAATGAACCATAAAATTAACTATATGATTAAGTTTTTCAAATGCTTTTCTATTTTCCAGAGTGGATTTTATACCATCAAAACTCTCATTTTTAAAGCTCTGGTTCTTTCCAGTCCTGTTTAAAGAAAAGAGTCCAGGGGGGAAAGCAGGGTGGGAGAGTATGGGAGGGACCACATTTTTTCCAAGAGTAGCGGCGGGCTCGGCTTCCCCTCCCCCCAAACCCACCCATCTCCCTCCCACACTTTATTTTTGCCCTATAAACTGACACACTCCTCTAGCCACCCCCTCCAAGGCCAGCCAAATGGGCCGAGCGAAATGCACATGAAGTGCCGGGGTTTGACGGGAACACCCCGTGTGGGCGAAATTTACCTGCCCATTCCCCACCCCGGTGACATGTGCTCGGAGGAGAAAATCAACAAGCCGGAAAAGAGAGGAGAAAAATACACGCAAGAATCACGCAAACTGATGGGAAATTGATAACAGAGAAGGGGGATAAGTGGGGGGAGTTTGATTAATGTTTCTTGAGTGACAAAAAGTGGAACAAGCTTGGTCACTTACTTGTGAATTTGTGTTTCGCTTTTGATTGAAGCTTCCGCCGCTCTCCACAGCGGCCATGTCACCGTGCTGCTGCTGCTGATCTGTGGAGGAAGAGTTAAGATCACTCATCTAAAGAAGGAGGAGGACACGTCCAAACAGACACATGAGGGTCCTATTATATCTCCAAAGTGAATCAAACTTAAACCTAACCTAACATACATCATTCCAGTTCTGATACCTTTGCATTTGAGGAGAGAAATGTTAAAGAAATTCACGCCACAGGTTCCCAGCTAGCCCAACGAGCTAAGCTAACATGAACTAACCACAAAAAGTCCTGTTAAGAAAAAAGTACAACACGGTTTCACAGTTCTTAACTTGGTGAAGTTGACTTTTTTCATGAGAGGGTTAGTTTCAACAAATAAACCAAGCTGCTTCTCAGAAACATAACAAAGTGTCTGACTTAGTTGGAGTAAATGTTGTTAGCTGAGAGTCCAGACTCAGTACTGGGTCACTTTTTTAACTGCTTCAGACGCTAGCTCCGACAATACCAACATGTTCTACTTACAATACTGAACACATGTCGTTTACTATCCCCTGAGTTTACCTTTAACTGTTAGCTTAATGCTTTTCCTCACATAGTGCCTCTGAGTTGGAAAAAGTTAACTTACTGCTCATAATTTGAAGACGGGAGGAGTTTCTCTGCTCTTTTTTCCAGTTGACAACTTTTCACAACTTCACACAAACTTGACGGGCTCCCCCCCTATGAAGGAGATAGGGAGGGTGCGTTCGATTTAGACACGGGCGTGTCTCGTAATCTGACCAAGTTTACAGTTGTTCTCAGTCGCTTTGGTGCATTTCTCAGATCAGAATGAAAGTTATCACAACTATTAGTTCAGCCTGCACAACACTGAGTCATTTGTGCAAATCACTGTAGCAGCTTCTCATTCCTCTGTAAAAAACAATACTTTTGGGTATGTATTAGTTACTTTTATAATATTATCATTTGCTTATGTCATGTCAGTCAAAAGGAAACATACCTATGAAAGCTGTATAGTCATTCCCTATAAAACTAAAGCGATCATAAAAGATTATATGCAGTAAATATGTGAAACATACATGCGTCTTGTACTCAGTTACCTCACTAAATACAGTAATATGTAACTTTACTGTAGTTTTGAAATGGCTGTACAGGTACTGTGCTGTATAGTGCTGTCTTGAGCATTTTCAGATAGTGACACCAAGTGACTTTTTGCATTGGAAAACAAAGAGATAGGAAATCGCCACAATGAAAACATGACAAAGCCATTTGACGGTCTTGTTCATAAACAGTGGTGTCAGGACTTATTATTTTGATCATACAGACAGTTTCATTGACATGAATACTTGTTTTTGAGGATTCAACTCTTCATTTTGAGCAAGTGACACGCTTTTGCAGACTATCCACTAGGTTTTGCAGTTTCTACTAATTGTTCTGAGAAATGCACCAACTGTAAACTCAGGCTCGCTTAATTGAAGACGACATGACAAGCAGATAGAAGACTTCAAGAAGCTCCCCACAAAGTTTTATCTGTATTTGATAATGTAATTGTTTATGTCATGGATAAATCAGCTAATTTTCAATAAACACGCCTGTGGCTAAGCCCGCCGGTCCTATTTTTCTTTGAGCGATACATTCACTCAAAGCGTCTGGAGTTGTTTTGTTTTATTTTATTTTGGATCCACCATTAGTTACAACAAAATATGCAGTAACTACTCTTCCTTCTTTTCCATTTTCCTTTTGAACTTAGACACGTACTTACAGACATTACACTTACATAACACTCATTTTACACTTCATCCATACAGTAGCTCGTATTCTCTCTTAGAACTTATTTAGGGATAACAAGAAAACTTCATCCATCAGAGAGAAGAGCTGAACTCAATTTCATTCATGGTACTCCATATGTAAACAAATACACCTTTAATTGTTAGTTAAAGCAACTTCTGTTAGTTTATTAAAGAGTACTACTTGGACTCTGTTTATAGTAATACTTTTTTGGGAAGGATACCAATAGGTAATGCAATTTACATTTAACATTAAACCAAATTAATTCATTATGCATTGCTATGCTACTTGTTCTATGGTGACAATTTAGTGCTATTCGAGCTGCTTTATTTTGTGCTATGTGAAGCTTATGTAAATTACTTTGTGTTGTGCTTAACCAGATTACTGCTCCTTATTCTAAGTGTGAAAGCACAAGTAACTCTATTATTTGTTTGATCATGTTGCTTGGCATATATTCCCAACAGTTTCTCACTACTGCCATAACTCTGCCCAGCTAAGTTTCATAACTTGACCTATTTCTTGTTTGGGCGGGGTGACCGTACATTTTGACGGTGTTAAAAAGAAGCGCACCCTCATTGAACCATTTTGCGAGGGATTGCTGCTTCCATCCAATCAGAAAGAGTGTTTCGGCCCTCTAGAATCTACTGCTCAGTATGATTGGTCAAGAGCGGAGAAGTAGGCGGGATCTTGTGAGTAGTTAGGTTGTACAACTGAGTATGATTGACGTTGGGTTATCTGTTTTCCGCTAAAAAGGCTCGACGAGTGAATAACTTTAACCAAACACCGATATTTCCCTCTTTACTGCTCTAATATGGTCGTTTGGTCTAATCTGGTTGATATTTGGTCGTCCAGAAGTGCTGTGAACATGGAGGTGGGGAAAGAGGAAGGCGTACTGGGTATTTAAGTCTTGCCTCCGTGGCTAATGGCCACTCCCTGGTGGCGCCTTGTGGGCAGGGAAACAGCAGGGAGGCGGGAGGAGTTAGCCAGGGTGGAGGAGAGGAGACCCCATCACTCTCAAACACTGGCTGTAACCGCGCTGGGAGGAGAAAATGGCTCACTTGTGGGAGGGCTTTTTATTATTGGGATGTACGAGGGGGCTGTCGGTGAAGCAGCACATGTGCCTGTGTAAACAGGAGTGAGGGTGGAGTCCATCCTCAGGGCCGAGCCTGCATCCACATCCACCCAACCCTGTCCATGCCAGTCCCTCTGCTATAAGGACACTATAATCAGTAGACCGGCTCCTCTTTTATCATCATGGCTGCTTCTTCACAAACATATAAATCCATAATGTCATAATAAATTGTTTCATACACCATGTTTGGATAAGAGTGCACAATGTTGACTCAATTTAGCAGAGAAGAGGTGTAGTCTGTGTAATGTAGTGATAGTCCTTATTGTTGAAATCTATGATATTACTGTCTTAAAAGTACCAAAAGTAGGCTCATTACCAACTGGGCAGCTTTCTTTCTTTCTTTCTTTCTTTCTTTCTTTCTTTCTTTCTTTCTTTCTTTTAAATCATGACATAATAACCTTTTCTTAATCTTTTCTCAACCTTTTTTGCTTGGTCAGGTAAATGCATAATTTACATATGCCTCTTATGTTATCTTATGTCATTTTATTTTTTTAATTCAAGCTCTAGCTTAAAGTTAGCAGAGTTAGAACAATAACTGAGGTATGACAGGATGCCTTAAATCCCTCCTCGAACAAGTCCACATGTATCACTATTAGGATTTGTATCTGTAAGAAGCTTATTTCAAAATGTATAAAGTAATTTTTTTTTTTTACTTCAGGTTGTGCGTAGTGGTTAATTGGCGCTCATCTCAGCTCATGATGTGCTCTTCTCTTCTCAGACAGGATACAACCCCTGTGCCTGGCTGGGCCATCCAGTTGCGTGAATCACTTGCCGTTCTTTCCCACAACAGTCTGGACTTAGACCAATTGGGAGCCCCAAAAGTGGGCGGGAGTACTTTCCTTGATAGACAGATTACTGTAACCAATCACCGTAGCCAAACATCTGATGTCATCACAGTGCGCAACTGTGTTCCCTGCTGGGCTCTCAAGCATCAAGTAAAGGTTTGGTAATATTTCAACGTGTACAAGCAAACAATGTCTTCTACGTCTTCTTCTGCGGATATCAACGATTTCTGCCGACTTTGCAAAGTCAACGGCAGAATTAACGGCATTCTGAATGAACGGTGCTTTGAAAAGTCCTGCAGCATGTGTTAGACGGCACCATTTACACATGGACCAATCAGGGGCTGCCTTTCCCTGTTGTCCGGGGAACAGTGGAAGCACAGTCACTGATTGGCCAGGTTATTTTCTGATTTCTAATACACACTCCCAATTGGCCGAAGTCCAGACTGTTGTGGGAAGGAACGGCAAGTGATTCACGCAACTGGATGGCCCAGCCAGGCAAACAACCCCTGGCCATGTAAAAGAATAAAACTAGTATTCCACTTTTTAGTTGCGCCCTCTGGTGGCAAAGATATTTGCAGCGTGACAACTTACCCGTGTGACAACAAGCCCTGGTCTCCCCTACAGCTTTGTAAAGTATATTTTCAATATAGTTTGAATAAACTGTGCTTCTTGTCAAAGTTGGCTGATATTGTCGAGAGAGATTTTGCGATGTTACGTATAATTTGTGTTGTGTAATTGACCATAAAACCTCTGACATTTAGTTGAGGTTTTTTGTTGCATGGTTTCTGCAAGATGTGCCACAGCTGCGTCCCACGCGCCTGGTCGGTTGTGTTTCAGATGAGATGCAAAGTTACTTCCTTCAATCCTCTCACAGAAACACCATCATCTCCATTACTTACCGTGTGATACTCTGCGAACTTTAAACCACAGACTGTGCAGACTGTAGCTGATATGAGGAAATACTCATTCCTATACATTCACAGTGGAACAGCAGAGCAGACTGGTCGTTATTCTGACAGTTTGTTTCTCGTAACAGATATCAGATAACTGAGCTCGCGACAACAGGAAACGAGAGGGAGCGCGCGCCTCTGACAGAAGTGAAACCTGCCTCCATGGAGGTGAAGCTGCTTTTCTCCTGACAGGTTCGTTTTTATTTCAACTTTAAATTGTCCTTCTTACCTTTAATATATTCAGCTCATGACTTGGATAAAAGTTTTAGTGTTTACTAAGAAAATAGCTTTAAACACAGTTAACTGGCATCCATCCATTTCAGTGACAGAAATCATATTTGGTGTCAAACATTTGCGTTTATTCCTCATTCAACTCTCACACTTAAAAACTACTTTAACCCAACAAAAGGCTGTTTAGTCTCATTTATTACTCTGACAGTGAAATTATGTTTTTAAGTGCACCATTTGCTTTAAATTCAAATGTATTTAGACTTCTCTATCTAACTGTATCTGTATTCTGCCTCTTTACAGGTACTTCATCTCAATATACAAATAATTTTTTAACAGACTTTAAACCTTTTAGGCAACTTCAGAGCCTTTTTTCAGATTGTCAGTGTTATTTTTTTATTTTTATTTATTGGCATCTTTTGTTTGATATTTTGCTACAAGGGAATAATATAGAGCCTAGTTTTTAATTTTAAAGATATACACTTCATTTTTTGAACCTTGAAATAGATCTAGAGTCGCAGTGTTTAAACTGTCTGATATTTTGCTGAAAATATGTCAACCATATGTCAGTAATTTAAATATTCAAGTTCTCTTTTTATTTGGACAGCTGTTGATTTTAAAGCATTATTATTGTGACTTTGCTACCATAATTAGACAAACTTCTTAGTGTTTCACCAGCTGGTTTTCGTAAAGCATTTTCCAAAATGTCAAAGAGTGTGACAACAACTTCAGGCCAAATGAAAAAGGGGACTGACACAAAATGCTGAATATCAATATATTTTAGAGTGATCTAGAGTCCCAGTGTCCAAACCGTGTGATATGTTGCTTGTAATATGTCAAACATATGTCAGTAATTTCAATATTTAAATTCTCGTTTTATTTGGACAGCTTTTAATTTTAAATCATTATTATTGTGACTTTGCTACCCTAATTAGACAAACTTTTTAGTGTTTCACCACCAAGCCTTGTCCAAGATGTCAAAGATTACAAGTTTTGAGTGTGACAACAACTTCAGGCTAAAATGCTGCATATCGATACATTTTAGAGTGAAAATACTAAACCATATTTCATCATTGTGTTGCTGTAGCTTAGGACCTGCCATGCTCTGGATGTGTGATCTGTGATCTGAGAAGATGGAGAGCCCGGCGTCCACAGTGAGGCGACGAGCCTGGATTAACAGCAGCCGGCAATGGCTCACTCTGGAGGATCCAGACCCTGAAGGACCACCGCACTGCAGCCTCCCGTCTACATCCATCACAGATGATGATGTCTTTTCTGATGGTAAGTGAAGAATATAAGTGTGAGGAATTGCAGAACTTAATTGTGTGTCCAGTATGATTTAAAGTGGATTTTAAGGAAATATTGAGAGTCTGAATCTAGTTTATCATCAACCAAGTATGTGTCATAGAAAAACATTAAAAATAACCTGAAACTAAATACTTGAATGATTTATTTCCTTGTAGAAAAACTGAATAACTTCAACACAGTGGGAGGTTCCTTTTTTACAGCAGAATATTTCTAATCTTTGAATTTACTGTTACGATGATTGATGAGTTTAATGTATTGTAAATAGAAATTGAGAGTAATCTTACCATACATCTCCTCAAACAAATTTAGCCAGCCCTACATGCCCCTTGCTTCTAAACAAAGAAATATTATGTACTCATGATTGTAAACATAGATAATAAATTCTATTGCATGTTGTAACACTGTTGAATGTCATTTCACATTGGAAAAGGAGTAAAAAAAACATTAAAATCTGTCTAATCTGATTGAGAGTTACTCACAAAGCTAAGTATTGCACATGTTTGATCTCCACAGGATGTTTCACAGGAAAGATTGAGACTTGGCTCATGGGCTGTGGGTGAGTCAGCTTGCCTTACTACTGTTTTTATGTAAGATGATGTTTTTTTTTTAACATTGACGCTTAACTGCAAGGTGTTAGTCAGTCTCTGGAAACTAGTTCAACAAACATTGAGTAGAAAGTGGAAACTCTCTAAAGCCAGGTGTTCCAGGAAGACAGTGCGGTGAAGTCGGTGCAGTTTTGTGTTTGCAACAATGGCCTCAGATGATGACTCTTTTATGGCTGCCTTGGAAAAAAAGGAGCTTATTTTAGTTCTTCAAACACTTATGTCAGAGTTACGTGAACTGACTTATTTTGAAGTGGCATGTTTTACCCTCAGGAGATGTGTCGCTGTTAAATGACACTGATGATGGTGTTCAGGTCATTGCACGCATGCAAACCTCTTTTAAAGGAAATGTTGGTTATAGTGAGAAATGTCAAGATGACAGTGGGAACATTTACATAACTCTTTGACCTTTGAAACATTTGGAATGAACTGTTCAGTATCCTGCATAAAACTGAATGTATTAAAAGGGTAATTTTATCTCTTCTTTCAGTCATAGAAGAGGAAGCTGCACTCATGTTGTCAGTAGTTTACTATGAAAATTATAACAACATCTAAATAGTTTCTAACACCAGAACAGAGGACAGTGAAAGGAGTGGTGTGATAGCTTTTGCATTCTGTAAACTCACGAAAATGACCAGATGGGTGTGGAAGTGTCGACCAGAGTGCTGATCAGCCTGTGAACATCTCCACAGAAGGAAGTTGACAGACCTCAACAGCATGTTGAGAGCTGATTAGAGGAAATATCTGACTCCAGCTTCTCATGAGCATACACTGTATCGAGGCCACTTTCATATTCCCGCTAAGGCCTTATCTATGCAAATGCAATTGCTTATTTGAAGAATAAACTGGTTGTTACGCTGAAGTGGATGCGTGATTGATAATGGGCTGTAAATTTCACAGGTCAGGTGCGCAGACAGAAAACAGTGGCCGGCTGAGTTTTGGTGAGTATACACAGAGATAGACTTACTTTGAAAAAACATGCACTGTCAACCAATTTCCTTATCTATGATGCACTTAACATATTGACTTTTTGAATGCAGTAAATGCAAATTAACACAAATGTGACAAATAAAGGAAGTTTTATCATACACTGCTTTGAGTGTCCATACTATTCCCACAGTGCTGAAGCAGGTACCCTGATCCTTTACTTTAGTCAAAGTAGCATTACTCTGATAAATATATGTATATATGCATATAAAGATCTCTCCAGTAATGTAAAATTTAGAGGCATAATAAGTGCAATATAAATCGATACCATGCCCAACAACAATACGTTAGGTAGGAACAATAAGAAGCAATATAAAATGATATAAAATGATACCATACAAAAATATATGATACAATACAGTACAGTATAACACAATATTATATGATAGGGAATAATTCAATGCCATTCCATATGATACCTTTTGGTACAATACAATGCTCTTTGTACGATACCATATAGTATCACCACTTTTTTAAATATATGTACGTAGTGCACGCTTGGGTCTGACTTGGCACTGCTGTATAGTTTATAGAGGTATTTATTTTAGTATTTATTCATTTTTATCAGGCTTTTGTTGTATCTAATCATGTCCTTATCTTTCATTGTACCACTTTTAAATCATGTTTCATTGGCCTTTACTGTGTTTGTTGTGCATCTGGTGTTGAGTCTGTTTTTTTCTGATGTCTCCATGCTGTTTGTTGTCTATATGAGGCTTCTTGCAAATATAATATAATAATACTGCATCACACTCCCATACAATACAGTTTGATACGATACAATACAATAGGACACAGTAAGGTAGAAAACAATGCCATCCCATTTGACACACTTTGGTATCAGTTTAGTACTCTTCCAGACTTTATGATACAATCAGTGCAATACAATAGGAGTGATACCACATCATACTACTCAGCACAATATTAGACTGTTGATGAAACCAACATTTAAATGACTTTTATTATGACTGTGCCCTTTTTTGCAGAGTCTGTGCTGAAAGCCAACAAGTTTGACGATGAGCTGAGTCTTGGTGCAGATGGTGAGCACACACACACACAAACACACACACAGGCACGCACATACACACACAGGCACTGTCAAAACAATACAAAGCAGGAAGTGTCCTCGTAGGAAAATGAGGTGGTATCATGCACAAGCTTAAGTCAGCTTTGTTTGTAAAAGCAGGGACAATGACACATGTGACCCTTCTGTGCAAATCGGCTGTGCCTGTCATCAGGTAGTCTTCAGCCTAGAGGGGGTGTTGTTTTGAATATATAAAATGTACTTTAACAATGTTGCCTATTAGGGCCACACAAACAACAGTTAGGTCAGACAAGAAAGAAAACTTATCCCTTTATGGTAGTAAAAAGTGTCTTGAAAAGATGTGGTGATGTAAATTAAAATATAAAATTGAGTTCATAAATTAAAACAGACACAAGGGTAAAAGTCTGTAAATCAATGTTATGATGCATATGAACATGGTCCTCTGTGTTTCAGCCTCTGAGTTAAATGGCGGAGAAGTTACATCTAAAACTAGGTAAGTTTTAACTGTCGTGATCTGAAATCATGTTCAGATCTCACAGCTTTTTGTACATAATTATATGTTTCAATGAAATATTTTTTTATTAAAAAATCTGAATTTTTTGATAAATTCAATAATAATAATAATAAAATTTGAATAATTTTTAAAAATTATTTTAAATTTATATATATTCTTTTCTAGTCAGCTTTCTAGACAGGAGTACCGCTCTTCACATGTTTAAACCTCAAGGGCACTAAAGCTGATTCTTATGAAATGTTTTCCTCTTTTACCCAACTCTGTTGACGATAAAGCCTTGAACGGCAGCCTTCCTCCAAACAAGGCCTCAGCAGAGTCACCAGCAGGTTAGAGGTCAACCTTTTCCTCAAATCAATAATACTGCATGTTTGTAAGTTGTCAAGAATGTTTCACGTGTCTTGCTTCGTCCAGTACCCCTCGTCAGAATCTACATCCGCCTTCGCTGAACCTGGGCCAAAGCATGGCCTCCAGCTGCCTCTCCTCGTCCACCTGCAAATCCACATCAAGGTGAGTCTTAAGATAATTTTGTCTAAGCATCGTCCTTTCTCTGTTTCATTCTTTGATTTCATGTGTACCTGTTGGCCCCACATTTCCTTGTTTTGTAAATCTTGTTCCTCCTTTATTAAGGACACTTAAATATGACAATTTTCACTAAAACTATCTAAGAGTTAAATAGCTATAACCAATAACAACTCCTCTATTCTATTTAATCCAATCTCGTGCACACCAGCGTGGCAGATGTCCTGCAGATGTGTTCAGAAGATGCCGAGGAGACACTCTACCAGCTGGGTTTTGGCAGCGACGAGCCGCAGGTTACCGTCCGAATCCCTCCTCGCTTCTTCACCTTTCCTTCTCTGGCTCAGGGCATCAACTTTCGCCTCTTCCTGGACTCACAGCTGCGGCGGATTCGAGAGGAAGATCCTGGCCTTTCTCTTGCGAGTAAGTCATTGAATCAATCTACTGTGTCTCACTCATGCAAGACGATTTGTAAAACGATCCTCTTCTGTCAACTCTCCAGGTCGTTTCAGACAAGTTCAAGTGCTCACGGCGATGGCCAACGCTTTCTACTCCCTGTACTCCCACGTGTCTCGCACTCCTTTGCAAAAACTCGCAACGCCGGAGTTCACCTTCTCCTCGTCCCCTGTGGAGCGGATTGAACGGTTCAGGAGCAACATCCGCAGTGAGCCGCGTTCTCCTGTGGAAAGACTCAAAGAGACTGTTTCCAAGATGTGTCTTTACACCGGCTCTCCTCGTGGGTCAGACTCCACTTCTCCTCAGCCCTCGCCCAGGAAGAGATCCAGCCTGCCGGATGTGGTGGAAATTGTCCTGGATAAAGTCAAATCTGGGGCGACAAAGAAACTGGATTTAGGGGAATATAGCACGGGTAATTCAGCTGTGGACGCTCAATTGTCGACTGATGCTGATGAGCCCTGCCATCGAGGGGAACAGGGACTAACACAGCACAGTGCAGGGGATAAAACAGATCTGGAATATGACAATAAACACTGTCAAGAGGAGATGCAGGGTAGTAAACAATCTGCTGAAAACAGTATCACAGCAGCAGATCTTGACAGCCAGACTCACTGTGAAAGAACATCTTTAGCGTCATCGCTGTCAGGAGAAACTGTGATAGAAGCAGATCATCAGTTTCTGTCACGATCGGCTCAAAGTGACACAAACACTGCTAATCTGGAACCCGTTTCCAAGGTTACATATGATCTAATCTGCCCACGGATAGTGGAGAGTGCACACCAGGCTCCTTTCTGCACAGAAGCTCTTCAAACGAACACTTTACCACTTATCTGCTCTGAGTCAGAAAGCGTAGATAGACCCAGTGCTGGATCACAAAAAGCAGATTCTGGACCTAATGAGGATTCGACAACAGATGCGTCCAGATCGCTTCCTCACGATGAAAGCCAAACCAAGTGCTGCATCACTGTGACCGGCTGGGAGGGGGAAGAAGTTGAGTCATGTCCCCTCAATGCACCAGAGTCCTGTCATATTTCAGCTGTCCAACCTGTCCAGACCTGCGGGGAGTCATACATTGAGGGAAAAAGTCAATACCTGAAGCCACATCAGGGTCAGGGGTTGGTCTCCAGCACCCTGCCACAAGTTAACTCCTTTGAGCTGGAAGAGGTATGGTGGAAAAAGAGCTGTGCATGTACAGTGTGATTGGATTTCAGTGACTTGTTGATATTGTGAAACACACTCATTTCAGCAATAGATAATTTACGGCATGCCCCTTAACCAATGCCAAAGGTGTTGAAATTATTTAGATATGATTGTAGACCAACATTTTTACGACACACGCCAACAAAGCAATAATCATAACCGCCAAAATTTTATGGGTAAAAAGGCTCATAAATCACAAGAGCAAATCCACGATACAAAATAATTCCTACTCCACCTAACTGGCATAGAAGTCTCCTACTCTAATTATATTCAAATGTAATGGTTAACAGGCCTACATATTAACATATCAAGGTCAGGTATATATAATGCATTATCTATGTCGGCATTGTCAGTGAGTTGTTGACAGTTATAATACCTGACCTAGTAAGTCATGATAAAATGCTTTATAATGTGTTATGACTATTGCTATAAAGCATCATGATCATTTATGAGTGTTTATAACTGTAGTTATACAATGCTATAACTTGATTATAACGCATTATAAATATATTTATGCATTATAGAGATAGGTGTCAAATAAAGTGTTATCAACATATCAAACAAACTATAATGGCCTCTAACATCGGTTGGGCTTTTATTTTGAAATGTTTGATATGACTTTCACGGCATGTAATTATCACGCTGCTTTATTTAATTTCTTATGATAGATATAATTTTTTTAAACTTTTATTGTTTAAAACCAAAAAAGAGAAAACCCGAAAAATTGACCTGATTTTTTTTCCTTTCTAATATTCAAATGTATTGGAAAAAAATTAAAAGACTGGAAATCACTCATAGAATTGGAGCCTATGAGCAGAGGTGAAAATTTCATGATCAGTTATGAAACAACAATTTCAAACCTATTTAGAAAGCCCGATCGGTGAGTGCTGTGTGGGGTCAGAGTACCTTTGAAGGATCAGGTGCTCTTCAGAAGGAGGACGAACAATGTCTTTTTAAAAATAGGAGAGCAGTTGACATTATTTCAGCACAATAAAGAATTTTTATTTGCATCAGAGTGCCTCAGACCTCTGGTTTTGACTTTAAAGGCAAGTCACTGCTCTCCTATTTTCAAACTTATTTGCTCTGTAGTGTAAATGAACCAATAATATGATAATTTAACACATGTGCAGCCATAGTTTTAACCATCTTGCATTAAATTGTTGAGAAAATATCGAAAGCAGACATGAACTTCAAACAGTATAAATTTTTTGCCTTCATAGGTGCACAGCGCAGGAGAGGAAGATGTTGGACAGTCACTCCTAACTGGAACGTGTGCTTCTCCATTGTCTGAAAAATGGCAACACAAAGGTAAAGCAGTATTCAGCATATGAGAGGGATCAAACTGCTGACCCGATCAACAAGTAACAGTCAGTTTTCACATAGTTGATGCAACTGTCTATGTGTGAAAACAATTATAACACTCTAAGAAGGCGTTTGGCTATTTATGAGAACTGACAAACACATTTTTGTGGGAAATAACTGCTTAGAAAAACTTGTTTGACTCAGGGGTTCACTGCATTTCTTGTAACAGGGTCAGTGTTGACATGTGAGGAATGTAGCGCTTAAGGATGTATGTGTAAGCAGGTCAGTGTGCAGGTGTATTTATAACAAGTAGAGTACTGTTTGTATATTCAGGTCAGGCTGCAGCTGCACATGTTCAGTGTTGTACAGTGTATGGAGATGAAGTCTGTGTTTGTGTCTGTACGTGCAGGTGAAGTGGTCCGAGGCGACAGTGTGCAGTCAGACAGCAGCGGCTATGCGGATGAAGAAGTCAGCCTGACATCTAATACACACGGCAGATGACGGACAACAACACAGAAGCCCATAAAAACTGCAATCATACATGAGCTTCCTCCCTGTTTACACCCTGAACTTGTTTCTTCAACTGTGGATTTATAAAGCGGATCTTAGCAAACGTGAAAAAGCTGAAACTGACTGAAATCAATCATGATGCCTCTTTAAGACCTGCAGAGACTAACCAGACCAACAGGAAGATTTTTTTAATTTATATTTTTCAATCTTTATTTAATTTTTAACTTAGTCCAGAGGGGGGCACCAAGATGTTCACACAAAAAAAGTTCCTTATAGGAGCTTTAAGCTGTCAAAGGCTTGAATGTACATAAACCAAACCAAAGATTCTGTTTAATAAAAGTTTTAAAACTATTCAAAGCATTTGGTTTCCTTCTTAAAGGGATATTAAAAGGGAGCTCGACACCCCCTTGAGAGATGAATGTTGCCGACCACTTGCTTCTCTAGTTCTACCAACTTTAGTAACGGCCACAGATAGCAATACAGAGAGCCATACGCTCAACCAAAATGCCACTCTATAGCCACAAATAATGCTCAGAACAGCACCTAACTTCATCAACAGCACATATAGGGTCCCAACCATAGTACTAGCCACCAAACATCTTTTTAACTTTGCCTGATTTCTTTAGCAAAAAGACCAAACACAACTCACCCACTCTCCTCCAGCAGCCGCTTGTTTGTACGGAGACCTCCGGGCGAGTCGATCGACTGCAGCGGGGTGATGCAGCTCAAGGAAGAACATATACGATCATTTCCTCATGGAAATACAATCAGATTATTACTTCAAGGAAATGTATAATTAATCATTAAGGATTAGAGCACAGTCATTCATTCCAACAAACTCTGGCAGTACAATTTACAAACATGCTGCACAAGGTCAGTTTCACGTTTTTATTAATTGTTTTTCAAAACTGGTCGACATTTTCTACCACTACAATATAGACGTTTTTTTCAAATTCATTGATGTTAGCACCTAGAGTTCACTAAAAAACAGGGCTTCAGTTTTATTATCAGTACTCTGATGAACATGATGATGCAGATTGTCCCAGGAGACGCCAGAGGGACTGTTAAGTTGATGTATTTAAACAAGGTCAGCTGGCTGTTTAAAGGACATTATGAAAACTGTGAATAAGTTTTGAATTCTCGTTAAAGATGAGGGTACCGCAGACAATCCACGCAAACAAAGTGAGGTATGTGACGATGAATCCTTGATATGACAAAAGAGGTAGAAGGAGAATACAAACAGGAGAATCTAACAGTTTTCAAGTTTCATCACAGGGGTAGTGATGGAAAAAGCTGAATATAACCAAACAACACTCAAAACAACCAGCTTTGACTCATTCTGTATGTTTGATTTTCAAATTAAAAAGAATTGTTTTGTTTGTGTGGTTTCTGATACCTAAAGTGAAGGGTGAGTTTTCAGATTTTTTTGAAGAATATGATGAGAAAAACCTTTGATGCTACTTATAAACTGATGTGTCGTACAGTAAAACTAATTCATGGATTATTTCATAGAGATGCTGTGAGCCAAAAGACATGTATTAAAACCATAACAGCTTATCAAATCATTAAATTTATACTCCGTTGTGTTATCTTCACGATTACAGGGATCAAAACTGGAGTATTAAATGTATTTGTTGTAGATTATTTTTTTAACTATCAAGATTCTGACTTAGTTTTGTAAATGTAAAAAAACAACAACATAGGATAAGACAGATTTACAAATAAAGTTCACAAAAAGGGGCCAATATGCACACAAAAGGGAGTCAATTCATGTAGTTTTAGCCATTTCAGTCCACCGATCCTTCTCTCCATTTCAACTTCAGAAACATGGAGGAGTATGGTAGTTAGTGAGGTTGGGTTGGGTTAGTTCCTTTCAGGTCATCATGATAAAAAAGGGCGCGTTGAGGTTCCGCTGAGGAGAACTGAGGCTCTGAGTAAGAGGGGAATGTGGTGAAAATCGAAGTCTTTAGGCCCAAAATGAAAAATGTTCGTTGAAATTTTTAGGGTCCAAATTACAAAAAAAAAATCCACATTTTCATTTCCTAATAAGTTCATCTGGAAACAGTGAAGTCTTTAAAAGAATTTTCCTCCGGGGTTTGATGCAGCAGAGTCTTTTTCTCTCCACAGTTCGGTGCTTGGCTTCAAATTTAGTCTCTTGTTCATCCATTGGCACAAGGATTAGTCAAAGCACCAATGAGCAGCAAAGTCCACAGTCCAATTTCTACAAACTTTGCTTTTTTTTTCAAACTTTTTGGTCGCATCAGAATTTGTCTGCAGTCGTTCAGAGACTCACTGCAAGGGCAGCATTTTGAGCTTAAGGAAAAGTCTTTCTAATTTTAGGGGAAAAGTGCTGCATGCGGATGGTGGGCAGACGTAACAAAGGAAATCCTCTAATAATTCTGGAGAGTGTCTTCATGAGTTTTTGGGCAACTGCATCTTCATTGGCAATGATTAAAAAAAATCCAAAAAAATGTCTCCAATGGCTTCATCTGGGTCAGAAAAAAAGTCTTGATTTCCAAATTTGAGGTAAATTCATAATTAAAGTGCCTCCTTCATCCAAAGTGGAAACTCATCCTTACGATTCCTCGCACACATTCAGTCTTTGAAGAGGCAGATGGCGTCACTTCCCTCCAGCCATGATTTTGAGGTACTGCAAAGCATTGTGGGCTGCATTAGCCCGAGCGGCGTCTATGCTTGGAGCGAAGCCGTGGCACACTGTGATTGGCTGCGTGGAAAGCTCGACCAGACACTGACAGAGGCCGCTCAGACTGCGCTCCTCTGAAAGAAAGAAACAAAAAACAAAAAAACAAGCAGATCAGAGTGTTAGTAAGTTACTCATCAAGATTTTAATCGACTGTTGATATTTTCACAGCCCCTGCTGTCATAGATAGTCTTAGTAAAACCATAATATTCGCATTTATACAATTTAATTCAAGAAAACTGGAAAAATACAATTTCATAACGGCAAATTACGCCTAAGTTTAAGACTTGTGAGTGCTACCCTGAATAAACTAAGAAAAAACATATTATTATCGCCAACTTCCCATGAATTTATCAGCTTCAATTCTGGTCAAATTTAAAGCTTCAGAATTGTAACAACAAGCAGCTGCACACTACTTCCTCCATATCTGATGACAGTGATAACAACCACACAGCACGACATTTGGTTTGTGGTGTGATGCAACTAATCAAATTTTACTCTAAATCTGCACAAAGTTTCTCAAGGTCTGCCAAACCGCATGAACCGGATGTTAAAGCAGTTAGACTATATATCCCCAACAAAAATGTTAAACTAGGGCTGGGCGATATGGGAAAAAGTTTATCACGATGTATTGTTTTCATATCAGTTGATATCGAAATGTATCACAATATTAAAAAAATCACTTGTCAATCGTAAATATTCCCTGTTACTCTTAAATGTAATTTAACATGTACTCGACATAATTTGCAGTGCACATTACTCTGCTTCATGTCCAACCTCAAAAAAAAAAAAAAAATACCTCCACTTCACCGACATTTTCTTGCCAGTGTTGTCCACCCTGTCATCATCTGTTGAACCTTCATCGTCATTTCTGTTGGGGGTAGCACTCATTTTCTTTTTTTCTCACCAACAGTGCTGTCGGCTTCACGTGTTGAAGTGCTATGGTTGCGTGTATAACTTCAACTTAAAATCGAGGAGATTCACACGTACAGAAAAGCAAACCCAAATAAGCAACTACTAGTTAAAACAAACCTAAAAACAAGCCTAAAAAAAGCGCACCTGCGACTCACGAGTTTTACAAGTGACTTCTGAGAGAAACAAGCTTAAAGTCTTTTATAATAAGTGGACCAAGCAACTATGAGGCGTTCACGTATATTTTGCCAATGTTTAAACTGGTCTCTGTTCACAAATGCAGATCTAGGATGTATGCACGTGCATCCAAACGGAAATAAAACAACGGCTAGGTTTTCAAAATAAAAGCAACACACTTGTATAGCATGTTGATGATTTGATTGACGGACCTCATGAAGGGCCGGGCAGGGACACCAAAGGGCCGGATGTGGCCCTCATGCCGTAAAATGCCCAGGTCTGATCTAGTAGAATGCAAGAGTTTGTACACTCACCTAGATCCAGGTAGCTGACATCAAATCGCTGCTCAGCAGACAGGTCACTCAGCAGGGAGCAGAAGTTGGAGTCGGAGGGCATGCCCAGAGGATGGCTGCGGAGCTGCAGGATCTTCTCTCCAGCAGAGTTACGTAGAGAATCCCACGTGCAGCTGAAGCCTTTATTTTTACCCGACTCTGCTCTGTTCCCCATGTGCTGTGTGAAGTGGAGAATGGCAGGCAACCATAAACAACTACAACACAACCATATTTCCTTTGATATCAAAATATGATAAAATACAGAATTGAGGATGCAGTAGGTTGAAGGCTGTGCTATGTAGGATTGTAGGACTTTTCTGTGGATTTTCTGACAAATACACTTGCATGGCCTTTTTAGCTGGTGAAGTGCAGGACAGAAAAAGATCTTCCTGAGTCTCTGTTAGTTTCTCACCATATTAAATGTATCTTCTTCTGTATCAGCATCGTTGCTCGTTCTCAGGTCGACTGGGACGTCATGTATTCGTGATAACATCTTTGCTGCTGCATTTCTCTTGGCTAGCTTCTTGGAGGTTCCACTTCCTAGAAAGACAAAGGAAGGATGAAACATTTCACAAGTTCCCCTGGTTAGTAATAGACCACAATTGATCATGATTATTTATAAAACTTCAGTTAACTACAGGCAACTAAAGGCTCTTAATGTTGACAACTAAGATAAGTCTGAGCTGAGCCAGTGTGCTGCAAAACAGTCAATTCCCACTATGAGCTAAGAATAAAAACAAGAAATTTTACCAATTTCCATAAATCTCTCCACTCTGCAGGTCATGGTGAACTCTTTGCGATGTGCAGGACCAGACTCCTGGGTGACAGTGTACTCTGGCAACCGCCATCCTTTCTGCACCACCAACTCCTGGCAGGAAAGAACACAAATAAATATGTATCAAAGCAATAAAGCATGTATCCATGAAGGTTGTCAAATAATTTTGCTGACACAAAACGGTCAGAACTTGGTGAATATGAAGAGCACATTTTCAGGCAGCCATACAGCAAAATCACTCTTAAACAGTCCTAGTTTTGTCTGTTCATTCACCTGCAGAGCTCCCACAGGGTTACATTCAGACTGCTGAGAACTGCCTGAAGTCTTCATCTCTGACTGGGACCTGCACAGATGACACATTAAAGTGATGAAACCACAGAGACCTTTATCTCACACTAATTCAATGCTTTAACACGCTGTTGAAGCACAGAGAATACTAAGATGATGTGTTGTCTTTTATAACAAAAGCAAATAGCAAACTGACCCATCACCATCAGTAGACACGTCAACCCCAATAAACCCGTCGACTCCAACACCAACTCCAGCGGGACCTCCAAAGCCTCCTTTGAGCATCTTCAGAGCAGCCTCAGCTGCTTTGTGCTTGGCTGCCTTCTTGCTGGGCCCTTGGCCGGTGCAGCTGATCTCTCCGACGGAGACGCGGAACGTGAAGTTAGGCTGGTGGGCCTGTCCCTCTGCCTTCAGCAGGTCATACACTGGGGTCTTGCCTATCCGCGTTCCATACTCCTGCAGCAGACTGATGGGCGTCTTTCCGGGATTCACAGCCAGCATTTGCTCAATACTTATAAAAAACAGAGAAGTACAGTGTAAGGAGACTGTTGAGTTGCTGTTCATTTAGTTCGATCAAAGTCAATCAATGATAACGATTTTAAAAGTCACTTAGATCTATTTAAAGGGATGTTCCGACGTAAAACTAATTTAGGGTCAAACACACCGTAACAGAGAGTTCGATACCCCCTCGAGAGGATGAATGTTGCCGACCGCTTGCTTCTCTAGTTGCCATAAACAAACCTCAACCAGAACGCCAGTCTGTAGCCACAAATAATGCTCAGAACAGCACCTAACTTCATCAACAGTACACACAGGGTCAGCCATAGCACTAGCCACCAAACATCATTTTAGCTTTGCCTAATTTCTTTAGCAAAGAGACTAAACACAACTCACCTACTCTCTTCTAGCAGCTGCTTGTTTGTAGCTAGACCTCAGGTCAATCCATTATGGACTGCAGCGGGGTGACACAGCTCAAGGAAGAACATTTATAATCATTTCTTCATGGAAATGTAATCGAGATGCCAAGGCAAGGAAATGATAAAGTAATGATCATAAATGTTCTTCCTTGAGCTGCAAAACTCCGCTGCACTCAGTGATCGACTTGTCAGGGCTCCCCCACAAACAAGCGGCTGCTGGAGGAGAATAGGTGAGTTGTGTTTAGTCTCTTTGCTAAAGAAATCAGGCAAAGTTAAAAAGATATTTGATGACTAGTACCGTGGCTGGGACCCTATATGTTCTGTTGATGAAGTTAGGTGCTGTTCTGAGCATTATTTGTGGCTAAAGAGTGGCGTTTTGGTTGAGGATTGTGCATGGAGAGGTAGACCGTTGTGTGTTGCTATCCTGTGGTCGTTACTAAAGTTGGTATAACTAGAGAAGCAAGTGGTCGGTAAAATTCATCTCTCAAGGAGGTGTCTAACTCGGTGTTATGGTGTGTTTGACCCTAAATTAATTTTAAGCCGGGATATCCCTTTAATACATCTGATTCATTTGTTGCTGACAAAATTATAAGAGAGATTCCTCAAGCTACCCCTAAACAAAATATGACCATCTGAAATTGCAGCCGCAGGACTCAAAACCTTGAAAATGACTTTAAATCTTTCCTGACAGAGACACAATTTGACTTTGCTGTTCTGTGGAATCGACAGGTGCTTTTTGGCTTTTTAGATCACCTCATCTGGAACTATCCGATCTGAAAACACAACACTTCTTTGTTTATGCTAAATCATGACCTTCAATCTCCATAGTATATTCCCTTAAATCTGAACTTTTCCCTCGTCAAACTGAGAGTTCATTATTAGGGATCTTGTGGGGACCTTTACTGAAAATGGGTCACGCGTGTTTACACTGGGGTTTACTGAATGATAGAGAGCTCAAGTTGGAGGCTGGGTCACGTCTGTTGTGGCTGAAACACACCGTTTAACAAAGAAAATGTTGGCCTGAATAGAAAACCAACAGCACAGTAGTAGTATTATGGTAAACAGGTGAAATAGGTGACATATTCAGACTGGTAGACCGCATCGCTGTGTTAGCTTAGCCTGTTCACCTGGAGCACCCGGAGTTTCTCTTCCAGCTGTCCGATGCTGTCTCGTCGTTCATTCCCTATTCCACGCAGACAGAGCCGATCGGTTTCGGATGGTTTATCCCCCCAGAGAAACGGGCACTTTCTTTCATTTGCCGGTATTATTCCCGATGGATGATTTAGGCGACGATTCATGAATGAATAACAGATGAAGCCCCCCGATCGGAAACACCGGAGCGATATTTTGGTTGCACATATATGACGTAGACAGAGGCCCGCGAAACTTGAAATCCCATTGGTCTGTTGCCGCTCCGGGTTGGTTCGTTTTGGAGACCGGGAGACACCGCCGAATTTCAGCGCTAAATTTTTGTACAAGGCAGGGAAGTCGGTGTGTGAAGAAAATTGGTACAAACATCCACCTTAAACGATTCATGACAACAGCAGCATCAGGTGAGTAACCGCCAAACAAGACCGACAGACCCGAGGTTTAGTTTATTAAAGGTAAATATCATGGCGTAAAATTAAGTTAGGTTCAAACACACCGTAACGTCGAGTTAGACACCCCCAGCCAGCCAGCTGACCTACCTACAGTGCTTGAGCTGAACAGCTGACAGCTGCAGGGGAAACAGACGGCACCAAGAAATGTAAGTTCTCCAGAACCAACTACACCTGGTTATACCTCCTAAGTGTTCTCAACCTCTCTGTTAAAGGAGTGAGCCTCTTAGGGTGAATTGTTTGAAACTCCCCTGTATTCCACCTCTGTGCAATAAGTTGTAATAACTTAAAGGAACCAGGAGGGTGCGACAGCTAGTCACTAAACGCCTGCATAACAAGCCTCCATGTAGGGGTAGTTCAGTCCTGTGGGGTCCTCTGATGCCAGGCCCCTGTCATTGCATCTTAATACGGCAAAATAATTACTGTAGGTATTTTTTGTTTGGCTGACAAATTCTATATTTTCAATTTCTGTCATTTTCACATTTTGACATCTGCACACTCCGGTCAATATTTGCACATTAGGACAAAAACTGCACCCATTTCACACTCTGAATTGTAAATATTGCATTTTTTAGATATTTCTTTGCATGTAAAAAACAATTAAAACTGTTCAAACTAATCAGAAAAATTTTCACTTTACTGATGAAACACATTTCCCTGTTATTAAAGGTTTAGGGTTTAGAAATGAAAATATTTTTGAGATGTGGGCCTCGAGGACAAAAAGCTCCTGTGATGCATGTGTGAAATTTAGCGTATTAGATTGCAAGCGTATTGCACTTTTTGACTGACTCATTTCATTGGCAACAGGTTAAATAAGATGCTGATACATATAATCAGCTAAAAGTCTGATACTGGCCACTATAATTGGCCTGGCTATTTCACTATTGACCCCTGGGTTTAACCATCAAAAATATCTCTCCCTCTTCATCTTCCCACCTGTGCATTTTGAGCGGCCTCTGACTAAATACTAAAGTGTACGTTATTATTTTGTCCATTTTGTAGGTGTAAGTGGCGATGCAAGATGGTGGCCTCCATGTAAGAGACCCTGCTCCTACTACAGGATCTTTAAATGTAAAGAATTAACACTCAATACTCAAGAATTTAAACTCCATTTCTACCAAGTCTGTTTTGCTGAATGCTGCTACACACTGAACACTGCATCTTTAAATGTTAGTTGCATCTGTGGGGATGAATGCTGCATCAAGTTATAATCTAGGCAAGCCAAGAGTGATTGTAATGCAATAGATTGTAACACTACAAACTGACAGCTTTGATTTTGTTGAAGTTTCTTGGCTTAGTTTAGATCTCTTCGCCTCAGAGAATAAATACCCTGAGAAGTCAGTCAGACCCCGAAAATCCTCTGGACCCACAAGTTCCTCCTAAACTAATGCAGCAGCACTTCCATAAAACTTTTCAGTCCATTTTCCACCTCTCCATCATTTCCTTTATTTCTGTGGCTCAGCAATTAATCTCTCGATGGTTTTGCTCATAAACCCTCCTCTGGCCACCGTTGAAAATAGAGCTCAGTCCCTGATGGCTTCATTCACTGGCATCAGTGTGTCAGTGTGGATAAGCACACTTGGCCAAGTGCAACACAAAATGAACTGGCAAAGACAATGAGTGAAGCTGTCTCCTGTTTGAACTCCCAAGCATGAAACCAGAGCTTTGGGATTTATCTGCAACCAGAGAGCATCTTTTCTACTCTCGTTATTCATATTTCCTGCTTAATTAGCTTTGTTCCCCTGACATGGATTTGTCAGATTAAGCCCTAATTTACTGACCAATAACGTGCTAATCCCAGTGTGTCTTTATGGAGCTCCTGGTTGAATCTGAGACCGAATGAGATCACAAGTTAAAGCTATCTTAGCAGTTCCATTGCTTCCAAAAAATGCATGCACACATCGACACACATCCACTTTCCTTTCCCCTGTCTTGGCTCAGCGCATTAGTGTGTGTGGTTCTTTAGTTGCCAAAATCATCAGTAGATATCTTCAAGCATGGAGCGGTATGAATGCTCTTTTTCCCCTCCTCCTTTCCACAATATGATGTGTTTCCTTTTTTGTGTGTGTTTTGATCCCTCTCTTGCGGCCGGGCTGTGCTGTGGTAAGGCGCGGGTTCGAGTGGCGCTCCTGTGTTATTTTTGGCAGCAGCAGCGGTTGGTGGCTGTTGGGGAGAGAGGAGACAGAAGGAGGGGGATCGCATGAAGCCCAAAACCGAGGCTGTTTAAGGGATTTCTGTCTGAAGGAATTGCTTTGTAATGATCGGAGTCTCATTATGGATGTGTGCACTCGTGCATGAGCGCACACTACAATCACAGAGAGGAAAAAGGCTGGCATCCACATTTGTTCATTTAACACTTCACAAACACCTCATATACATTTTCTGATTCACAGACCACACACTTTGCTGCTAAACTGCTTAACATGAGAGGAGCTTATGTTTTAAAAGAAATTAGAGATGTTTCGATTCCACTTTTTCTACCTCGGTGCTGACCCCATACCTTGACTTGAATGACATACATTTGAATTACCTCTGATGAAGAACTTAAACCTTATTTCTATTAAACAGCTGTAGTTGATATAACTAATCCTGTTTGGACGTTATAGAAATGCTGTCTCTGTTAATTTAATGCGGCGCAATAAAGAGTTTTATCAAAAATAAATAAAGCACCTGGTCACAAGCTAAGCTAACAGACTTTTCTCACCTGATCAAACCTGTTTGAGACCCTGGAATTTAAAGCTCCTATGAGGGACTTTCGGTTTATGTCAACTTTGGCGCCCACCTGTGGACAAAGCTGCCCTTTAAATTCAAATTCAACTTTAATTTTACTTATATGGCACTTTTCAGACAAAAATGTAGTTCAAATTGCCTCACAGAGGCTAAAAACAACAATGGAACCTGACCCTCCCACCCACACACCCACCCATAGACCCACACACACAGACACACACCCACCCCTACATGCACCCACCTTTACATACTTTATTTGTAAATGTTGACAAAAAATCTTATCTTTCTCACTTTTGACAGTCAAATTTATCATTTAACCTAAAATTTTTATCAATGCGGGAATTGTTTGGTCCGGGTGTTGTTGACATCTATCCCTTTGCACCTGTTTCAGACATTGAAAATGACACTTAAATTGACTTGTTTGCTTTTGGGTATCATGAAAAGGCATCAATATGAATTTCAATCTATTTCATAAACATCATAAAACTTTATAGCAGCTTTAAATTACAAATACATAGTTTAAATGGTACAGTCTGTATACAGGGGCATCAGACTTGGAGAAAGTGATTATGATATTCATTCAAATACATACATTTGTGGACAATCACCGTCATATAGGGGTTATTTGTTCATTTTAACTAAAAATTACCTTTTATATCTGCATGAGAAGGGGGTCTCCTTCCACAAAAGTCTCCATCTAACACCATCTACAGTAGGGCTGAACCATCAAACCAGTAAGAGCCATACACATTTTTGTTGTCGCAGCCTAAAAACACACCAGGCTGGAGACAAAGGAGACCAAAATAAGCCTTTATTGTTGTGCAAAAAAAAAAAAAAAGTTTTGATGGAACGTTTAGATGGTAAAAACTGGACAAAAGGAGGACTGTACTGTACTTATCACGCATAGCAGCAGCTTCTTCATGAAGGCCAACACTGCTACCGGAGCAAGCAGCAACCTTCGATCTCGATAAAAGACGCTGATGCAGAGGTGCTAAAAACTGCAGTCCCTCAAGGGTTGACAGGCTGTCGGCAAGAGCATATATGCCTTTACTCACCTATTTATAAAACGTACTTTTAGAGCAGAAATTCACATGTTCACAGTCAGGTAAAAAACAACAACAACTAAGGTCGAGATAGTTCATCTCTTTGAACGTACCTACTTGGCAGGGGGTGAATTTTTCTGTATCTTATTAGTTCTGGTTACAAGCTTATAACAGGTTGGCAGACTTCAGTTGTGAGTTAGGAGCATAGAGTGTATATAGAATGGACGCCGTCTGCCTCCTCGCTGGGTGAAGCCACCGTGAGAACAGCACCCTCTGGTGACAGGCTGCAGTATGGGGCATAGATCCCGCCTCCTCCAGCAATATCTATGGAGCTGTGGACAAACTTTAGAAATTTATTACACAGATGTAAATTTTTCTCCCCCCTGGTTGAGATGTTGACATGTAGTTACTGTAAGACTGGTTTGTGCTCAAGTCCTCTTTTTTCTGTACAGCTCAATTTGTATAATTTATTAGGGGGTTCATGTTTTCTATGATTGACACTTGATACAGCCGATGTTTGACTATGGGCCTACGAAGATTGTGTAGCTCAACTGGGGGATACTCTGTTTGAGCGTCATCACAGTGACACTCCCGCCAAATGCGTACAATGCCACTGCGCAATGTTGGTTTCAGAAAATGGAGAAAAACGCGGAATTACAGAGAGCTTTTCGGCTCCAAATCTGTATACTGGTGGAAGGCAGAACCAAGTTGTCCATACAGTCTATGGTTAGGAGGCTAAAGGCCCACCTCAGCTCCACCTCCACCTTGCTCGGTCGACCAAAAGTTGGGCTGAGTCAACATTCCCAATATGGTGACCAATACCACTCGGTTCAGACCCCACTTCAAGAAACCAGTGAGTGGTGTCACTGTATCTCATGTTCTCATGCATTTAGATTGGTATACTGACTGGTGTACTTTGCTGGTATCCAGTTCTTTAGCGATAATGATACTGGTATCATACTGGGAGGAACTCCTGTT